AGCGAGAAGGTCAAAATTCACGAAAAGTGTGAGACTAGCTTTTTTCTTAACAACTACAATTTAACAACACTAACTAGAGGAGAGAAAAAAGACTGTTTTCTTCATATCTTAAATCTTCAACAACCATGGGCGCAGTGTTTACTGGAATCCACATCTGGTTATTAATGCGGATTTTATTGGCTAAAGGTACAAATTATGTGCTTGATTATCGGATATGTCCCAATCTAGGACCTTTTTTAGAGAAAACCCGACTGAAGATGAACAGGTACGGAGTTAAAGCGATAAATAAATTCTTAAGATAAGCCACACATTTTTCTATCAAGGAAAATTTTTCAGTATCTAACAAGTGTGTATTTTTGGATTTATTTTGTCCAAATTTGTAATTGTTAATATTGTTAAATTGTGATCGTCCTCCATGTTGCCTGAGGGGTGGTGGAGCTTCACAATAGTGGACGATTCAAATTTTTAGTCTGTTACACTACAAGGCGTACCGGACAAAACGAAAGACTTAGTGGAGATCAGGAGATGCGACTTAACAGAATCATACACTGAAGATAGCGAAATGCCGTAAAGCTCCTGATAGACCAACCAGCGAGGACAGGTAGAATAAAATGACCGGTAACGACCAAATTTCATATTAATGATTGTTTGAATTTAAATTATTACAGTAAACGTCTACATTTCTTTGTACTTCAATACGTTTTCTTTTAAAAAAACCGTTTGTATATTGTAATATAAATAAATAAACTTTTGCTTTAGTGTGGGCAAGTCAAGTCTGAAACAGTTTTACAGAGCTAGGTTAAATCCTAACATTCTCCCTCTTTAAAAACTAAGCCTGAAATGGTAATAAACATTGTACAAATCTTAACCAGTTCTACATTATAATTTCAAAGCTGTCTAAAATGCCGGAACGACATGTACAGCAAAAACAGGATGTAATGTAATGACTTTTATAGGCTGGGCTGAAGTAAGCGTACCTTGACCCGGTGTGTAGATGGTGATGGTAAGATGTCCTCAGAAACACTGGGAGTCGTTTGCTGTGCGGGTGGCAAAAGGGAGACTGCCGTTGGAAAAGGCATGTCATGAATACAATAATGAGGATCGCCCCTCATGGTCAACTTCATCACAAACTATTTACACCTTACTTCTAATCGTCCAAATTTAAACTGCTAAACTCCGTCTGATAGAAATTAAATTAGAGTTTCTCTTCCTCTCTGTCTGTCTCTCTCACTAGCGCGTTCTCCTTCTCTATCTCTCACAATCTCTCTTTTTTTCCCACGGTTATTGCGTGTTTCTCGAAGACTACGTGGTTTACAGGCGTATTTTTATTCCAATCGAGCCAGTAGGATAATACATCGGATGGATAATACATTAAAACTTTTTTTTTCTTTCGTTTTTCTCGAAAACTGCGTGGTATCGGCCCAGTAGGTCGTTTTACGTCGAACAAATTAAAAAAAAATCCATTTTTTTCTTTGGATTTAGTTTAAGAGCATACATTTTGCTCCCAGCAAGTCGATTTGCATCGAAAAAGAAAATAAAAATTATCGGTTTTTATCGTTTATTTGCTTTTTCTCGTGGTTTAAGAGCGTATCCTATTCAAATTGTCCCAGTAGGTCGTTTTACATCGGGTAATACTATAAAACTTTTTTCAGTTTTTCCCCGTTTTTCTCGAAAACTAAGTGGTTTACAAGCTGAATTCTGGTTGTAATCGACCAAGCAGGCCGTTTTATATCGAATAAGAAAATCAAATTTTATCAATTTTTTTCTCGTTTTCCTGGTTTTTCCCCGAAAATTGCTTCGTTTACTAGGTGAAATATTGTTCCAATCGACCCTGCAGGACGTTTTACATCGAAAAATAAAGAAATAAAAAATATCGGCTTTTTTAATCGTTTATTTGCTTTTTCTCAACAACTGCTTGGTTTACGAGCGTATCAGTAGATACAAAATGCTGGCTCTAGAACAGTTGAAGTGGTGGTGAAGTGATGAGGGGTCTTGGCTATGTATTCTTTGGACCCGATTGCCTGTCTCTGGGAGGTGAAAAAGGGTGAAGTGAGGAGAGGTGTAGATTTTTGAATAATCAATAAATATCATCATTCACACCTGTGGGGAATATGCTTTTATTACGGGTCGAAAACCAACTTCTCGCTTGGATGGATTTCTCATTCTGTAGTAATTACCGTGTTATCGCATTAAAATAACATCGTGGGGTCGTTGATGTAAGAAATGTGGTACCACTCTTTTTTGACGGTCGCGGGTTCGATCCCTGCCTTATCCACTGGTGTTTTTAACAAAGGTGGTCAGTACGTCTTAACAAAGCAACAGTTGAGTTTAATAATTTTTTTTTATAAATTCGTATCTCTTGGTGTTTAAGTCCCCTCACTACGTCAAAGTGGAGATACATCAAGAAGGTTAGTTTGAAATAAATTTCAATGCAATGTCTTTTGGTTTACGGGTATTTTACCACCTCGCCAGTGACCTTATAAACACACATGCCATTACATGAAAATCCTTTCAAATTAACAAAATAATTATAACAAAATAATCCATTTAATCTTTTGTAACGGAAAAGTTTTCTTCTAAAATAAAAAAAAATCTCTTTAAAAATTGCGTAAAACAGTTGAACAATGAAACTAAAAGTTTAAAATCGTTCTAGTAAACTGTTCGTAAATATCCAATTGGCCAATGCGTGGACTCGAAAATGAGTACACATCCGTGCACACACTTCATGCATCAGCAAAATTTAATAGAGAAACAAACTAATTTAATATAATATATATAATTAAAAAAATAGAATATTTACAATACCCACTTCCCACTTTAGAATCCGGTTTCGATTTTTTATCTAAAGCAAAGTATTTTAGTATATTGGATCTAAATCAACCGTATCATCAGTTAACCATTGGATGATGCAAGTAGAAAACACACGGCTTTTTCAACATCAATTGGCACATATGCTTATAACAAAATCCCTTTTGGATTTTACAAGTGCTATGGCTTTTGGTGGATGAAATTTTAGGTGAATTTAAATACAAATTCCTACTTCCATATTCGGATGATCTGCTCATCTATTCGGAGACGTATGAACTCCATCTTAGACATTTGGAACAGGTGTTACGAAGATTGCAACAGGCTAATTTGGCAGTTAATCCAAAGAAATTACAATTAGCGAAAACGGAAATTGAATTCCTTGGACATGTAGTGAAGCACGGTAAAATTACAATAAAAGAGGACAGAATTAAGGCTATAATGAGCATAAAAAGACCACAATCTCCTAAAGAAATTGCCGATTTTATGGGGGCAGTCAATTTTTTTCTAAGTTTATACTCGATTTGGCTGTGGTATCAGAACCCTTAAACGAATTGCGACGCAAGAGATCAGTCATGGAATGGTCACATGGCCAGCAAGATGCATGGGAAGAATTACGCAAAAGAATCACAAAGGCGCCAATATTATTGTTGCCTCGATTTGACAGACCATTCCATTTATATGTAGATGCTGCAAAAGTAGGGATTGGGGCAATGCTGGCTCAAGAAGATGCGGAGGGTAGATCACCCCTACTGCATTTAAGAGCAGATGCCTCAATGCTCACGAACGAAATTATTCTACCTACGAACAGGAGATGCTTGCGATGGTATATGGCGTGGACAAATTCAGAAGTTATCTAGAGATAGGTACATTAGAACTTCATACCGACCATTCGGCTTTGAAAGCTCTCCAAAGTATCACATCTCAGGGTGGAAGATTAGCAAGGTGGATCATGAAATTGATGCCTTTTTCTTACAATGTGCATTAGTTGCCGGGCAAAAAGAACTCGATTGCAGATTACTTATCACGAAATCCTTGTGATCCTCCCGAGAGTCAGCCCAAAGATATCACATATGTTACCGATGTTAACGAAATTGCCAGAAATATTTCAAAATTTTTCCGAGTGTCAACAGGATGATCCTGTAATAAGCAAAATATAGGACGAAATTAAAGCGAATCGACACGAAGGAAAGTACAAAATGATAAATAATAAAGTAATATATTGCTTATCACCTCATAAATGGAGGGTGGTGGTGCCAGAGAAGTTAAAAGGCGTAATTTTTGAGTATTACCACACTTCTGAGATTGGAATGCACGAGGGCATTACCAAAACAATAGCTAAGATTGTTTTTTTCTGGATTGGATTGCGGCGATTTGTAAAGAAAAGGATAGCGCAGTGCGTAGTCTGTCAAAGGTCAAAGGGGGACCAGACAGGGGCAAAAGGCAAATTGTCGTTAGTAAACCGAATGAACGATTATTTATTGATTTGGTAGGGCCGTTGCCGAAAACGAATAAGGGGTTCCAATATATTTTTCTGGCCATTGACGCGTTTTCTAGTAAAAGTAAAATAGACTTTTTAATAATTTTGGTTTTCGGGGTACAATTTGCTCTGATAGCAGCCATTTTTCGTTCAAAAAAGTATAACGACTTTTTGTTTGCTTTCGGGGCGCGAAAACAATACCTGATCAGACATTATCCCAATCCTAGTCTAGCGAAACGTCAGATAAAGAATTTGAAAGCAGCGATTATAGCGTCCCATGCCGAAAATCACTCTCGCTGGGATGAAAACTTAGGTTTTATACAGACTTTTAAGGACTCGACCCTGTGCAAAAGTGCAAAATATATAATGCCCCCGCCCTTTAGCCTTCCCCTCCATTGTATGAGACTGGCAGGACATTGCCTCTGGCCCTGTAAAGAATGCTTTTTGTACAACACTCGTAAATTTGTCAAAAAATCATCAATCCGCAACACTCACTAAATATGTGTCGTTTTCAGTGGTGTATGACTTTGACTCAAGCATCCATATTTTATAGATGTTTTTCCCTTCCTCATTTGTGTTTTGNTTTGACAAATTTACGAGTGTTGTACAGTAAGCATTCTTCACAGGGCCAGAGGCAATGTCCTGCCAATCTCATACAATGGAGGGGAACGCTAAAGGGAGGGGGCAATATATATTTTGCACTTTTGCACAGGGTCGAGTCCTTAAAAGTAGGGCATTAGGCGGATGATGAAAAGCAGGCAGAGCACCAATGGAGTGGGCACGTCACTACGGAAGAATATACGTTTTAAACGTGCTGTTGAATTTAATATTTTATTCCTTATGCCTCGTCTACTCGGCTGTAATTTTATTTACAATAGTTTTCCATTATTTAAGAAAACCCTCAAAATATTCCTGGACTGTGAAAAACCGTGCCAGACCACAGGCCCTTGAGAATCCTCACTTTGGAACACACAAGTTCATTCAACTTCAGGTAAGAAAGAAGCTTAATCCTTTAACGTTTGTGGTATTTACTATTTACGACTTGCATTTTTTTGTGTGAATATCTCGTTTCAATTTATCCCTTTGATCTTAATATTTATCAGAAAATATTTTACTTTTATGCCTCATAAAAAAGTTAATTACCAACGAAGTTCATTAATTTTTTTGCCAATATTGTCTTGTTTAAATCTTCTTTTCATACATTCCAACTTGGAAAAAACCCGCATGAAATAAATATTTTGTATAAAAAGTTATCTAGAATGAGATGGGAATGATATTTATTTACACGCTATGTTATCTTGTCCGTCGTGTTACCTCTTCGTCGTAAACATTAAATTGACCAAGTTTACAACATTCAAACTGCTGAGGAGCATGTTGTAAAGGTCACGGAATACCAAATTCGTATTCTTGTGTATAGGAAACATGTTTATTATTATGTTCCCTTTACGAGTTCACGTTTATAATTATTGGTCAAATTGTTTATATTTTCTCTAGTGTTTTCGTACGTGATGTTCTTTATCATTACTGCGTAGTCATCTTGTTTCTATCGTTCAAAAATGACCAATCAAAATTGACCATCAGAGTTGTTGCTCATTTTAGGTCAGTAACGTTCAGTTCGTTTTGAAAACTGTGTTTATTTACCCTTATGCCTTCATTTTCATTTATAACTGTTCATTGTTCGCTTGATTGTTTTTATCGTCAAATTTCTTAATTGGACAAGTTTGATATTAATTTTCATTAAATTCAACGGTCATTACACATTATTCTTTGAATTCAACATGAATTCCCATGATAACAATCAAACCAAATATGTATTTCTACAGTATAAAATATAGAACAATGTTACTAATAATAACATATATGTATTTAGTAGTCATAATTGACGGTGTTGATTATTTTAATTAATTATACATTTTATCTAAGGTCTTGTTTGATATGAAAAGGAGAGGCGTTACATATAACCATATTTGAGTAGATTTTAAGGTGCCATTTAAAAGAACAAGAAATTATCGAAACAAGAAAATGGAAAAGTTTTTAGTGGAACTTAATATTCTTTATTAGGAAGTATTAAAACAACAGATTTGTAAGGAAATTTCTCATTTCGCAATTCTTGGATATAAATAAGTTGTCACCGAGCTGTGCGTAACGGTACTCGCCGGTGGTTTATTGCAGGGAAGGTCTACAAAAGTACCTTTTACAGTTTGCTAGCCTTGTGAATTGTTATTGATGTTTATTTATTTATTTTTTCTCTTTTTCTATTAACGCTGTTCAGGTGCTTTCACGTTAGGCGAGTTGACACCCGGGCATGCTCTGGAAACTTAAGGGCATCCTTACATTTACGTATTACCGTATCGTAAAATCTTTATCGATCCTGCAAGGTTGTCTCCAGTAATTCATGGAGCGAGAATTTGCAGACGTACAAGTTGGGTTTAGAAAAGGCAAAGGATCCTTGTTTCTGAAAAATATCTATTTTTATTTTATTGACAATTATAAAGCCTTTAACTCCCGCGGTGTTGGGTTCAATTCCCACAGGCGCCTGTGACTTTTTTCCTGACGCCTAAGGGGACCGGAGGCCGAAATGAAAATTAACACGGCATTCATCAATGGTGGTAGGGGGCGGGATCGGATCTCAGTGACACTGAATTTGCTCTCGACCCCCTTCGAAAATGAATTTGTTGAAAGAACATCGGCACACCGGGAGCTCAATTCACACACACATAGCCCACAGAAATGGAGCCAGGAAGGAGTAATAAGCTAGAGAGCTGCAGGGGAAACTTCTCCAGTCCTGGTATCCATCACAATGAAGAAAAAAGCCTTTGACTGTGTGGATCACATAAATTGTGGCAAGTTCTTGGTGGTATATACCAAGTCATCTTGTCTGCCTCCTTTCTATCTGTCGATTTCTATCTGTATAAATAGCAACGGTAAGAACAGAGCAGAGTAAGGCAGGGTTGTGTACTCTCACCCTACCTATTCAACCTGTACCCAGAACACATCCTGCTGGACGTGAGGAATTGGAGTTAACATCGCTGGAAGAAATATTAAAAATCTCATATATGTAAAAGATACCACATTGATTGAGGAAAAATTGAGGAGCCTTCTGACGAAGGTGAAAGAAGAAACTACAAAAGCTGGGTTGAAGTTAAACTTTCTTAGAAGGAGAGCAATGGCAAATCTTGATAAAATAGTTGAGAGCAGAGACACACTGATAACAAAAGTCCGCTTAGTTAAAGAAATGGTATTCTCAGCAATAACCTATGGCTGCGAGTGCTGGAACATAGGGAAGGCTGAGCAAAGGAAGCAGCTTTTGAACTGTGGTGTTGGTTAGGGATGGTTGGAGGAAGATTCTGAGAGTGCCTCGGACTGCAAAAAGACAGTATACCTGGTGAAGAATCTGATGCCAACCACGGGGGAATTAGAGGTGGTGAAGGTTGTCAGGTGGCCGCAGATGTGGCGTGGGTTGGTCCATGAAGTCACTGAGAGTAGGAAACGACTAAACGAATCTTACCTATCCGATGGTACGAGTTGGAACATCTTTTTAACCCATTCACTATGCCGAATCGGGTGTTTCGCAAGGTCAACCCTTCGCTACCCTATCCCTCTCCTAGCAACTAATGTCGTCCGTTGTTTGGGACTTTACAGCGAGAAAAGACTTACTTTGAACCTCCATACTAAACTCAAAAGAACAACAGACGATATAAGCTACTCAAACGACTGCTTGTCAACAAATCGAAACTCTCACTAAAAAACTAAAACTACTCGTACATATCGTTGCTATAACCAATCTTGACGTACGGAATTGAACTGTGGGGTTTAACAAAGCTTCCAACCTACAAAGAATCCAGTCACTCCAGTCAAAAAATCTTTGAGCCATTGCTCAAACTCCCTACTTCGTATCCAACACTTCCAAATCCCATTCGTCCTCGAAACCGGAAGAAATCGATACAGAAGCCGCCATAAAATATTCGAAACTTAGCCCAACACTTTTCAACCCAAACTCCCTCCGATAATCTTAAAAAGGCTCCTAAAACGCCGATAGATCGCGATTTCCTCCGTAGTGAGGAAAGTGAATAGTGCTGTGAAAGGAGTGTAAACATTTTTATTTAATATCGTTATTCTGATTAATAATTGAGTTTTTATACATTTTTTCTTGTTTTTCGAAGGGAAGTTTTCTGTAAATAAATCTGTATAACCAGAAAATTGTAAATCCAAGAACGTACTGAAGGGAGAACAAGTCTTCACTTTTTTAGTCAGTTGTTCTCACGTCGCTAGTACCCACGAACGTACCTTCTGCTCTCACCTTTCCAGTCAGCTTCCAGTTCAGTAAGCACGAACGTCAGGATCCAGTTCAGCTGTCCACTGGTACAAGCAAACGCTCCATTTTTAGCAGGACATCGCAGCACTCCGTTCGTCCAAATTAGTGTGTCTTTTTGCTATACATAGTCTTTCAATATTTAGTCAAATCTGGCCCGCATTCAATCAACAAGCCACACTTCTTCCCTGGTAGCGCCAAGACTTGGAGCGTAGATACTTGTATAACATTTGTCTACATTCATATTGTTATAATACAACATTTTTGTTGAAAATTAAGTTGTTTGTAGCGTTTTGGCGTTTAACATTATTTTTATTTATTTATTTTAATAATAAATCCTTTTATATTAATTAGTACTAAAAATTCGACGGCAAAAGTGGTTTTATTTGTCTTTATTTAAACTAAACTTTTGTTGATAGTTCTTAATTTTCGACCACGATAACATAAATCACCAGCCTTAAAATCTTCAAGAAATACAGCTTCGGTTTGGTTTTTACAGAATGTGAAGTTGCACTACGTGGAAGCAGGGGTGAAGGAAAAACCCTTGATGATTTTTATACATGGCTTTCCGGATTTTTGGTATTCTTGGCGTCATCAGATCAAACAATTTGCTCAGGATTACTGGTTTGCATTTGGATTACATATGAGCTTATTTAGATTTTATTAATGTTTTCTGGTTTAGTTGTTTTTTTTGTAACACATTGCAGGATTATAGCGTTAGACACAAGAGGATACGGAGATTCAGAAAAGCCTAAAGGAATTCAGTTTTACAAGTTAAACTATCTTATTGACGATTTGAAAAACCTGATCGACGGGCTAGGTAATCACACTAAAATATATTGAAAATGGATCAATTAATTTGTGTTTAATACTGGTTTAATACTTCACGTTTCTGGTACGCCCTTCGAGTCGTGCAATTTGGGGAGGGTCGTGTCCACTGATTACCTGAGTGGCATTGTGTAGCTCTGAGCACAGATTCTCAATGGATCCTCTCAATGAAAGGGTGTCATTCTTTGGCTCCACATAGAGAGCGAGTAGGAATGCAACCCGACATTGAATCTTTCGGTTCCATATTCCCTATTTGTAGAGAAACAGAGGCATTTCTGTAGATACACATTTTTTATTGCAGCTTGGCTTACTATTGTATATAATATAGCAAGTTTGCTTATAGATGTATTCTTTGTCAATTGTTTCATAAGAATATATTTGTAAGTGTGAATGTGTTTGCGTACAAGAGCGTCTGTGGCGGAATATCAAATACTCCATCTACCCTCAATTAGACTAGTGTATGTGCAGTAATGAGGTATTAGTGGAACCGAAACCGATAAATAAATATTAACAGAACATTATAGTATTATATTTTACACAGGATAGTAGTAATGAAGAAGATGGAAGAAGAATGAGATACCTCAGCACCAAAGTGAGGATATAGAGTCTCCAGGTGATTAGGACGTACTTGACATCACCATGCAACTAAAGAAAAACAAAGCCCTGGGCTCGATGGACTACAGGCTGAGTATTTGAGACGGGGATTCTATCTGGAAGTGTGAAAAATAGCATTACATTATGGGGTGGAAAGCGGAAGAATTTAGGACAAGAATAATGTATATACATACACACAAAAAGAACGATGTCCTAGATTGTAATAACTGCAGAGTCAACATCTTACTTCCTACGGCATACAACGCTTTCTCTAACGTCCTGAACTCCAAACCCCATCCCTACGTCAATAAAACAGACAATACAAGTGCGGTTTCATTAAGTCAAGGAGCTCTAAGACAAGGAGATATACTAGCTTGCACGCTGTTCACCCTGCCTGTTAGAAATGCAATCAGCGACGGCCGAATACAAACAACAAACACAATATATTCAAAAAGTGTGTAAATCCTAGCCTATGCCGACGATATATGTGCCATTGGAAGATCATTGCGGCAATGACGGACGCATTCACCTCATTAGAGACAAAACAAAATATATGACAACAGATAACCGACAGGCTAATCCAACCATACAAACCGGCAGATACAACTTTGAAAAAATTAATAAGTTCCAATATCTAGGACTAGTGATAAAGGCAGATAATGACATAAAACAGGAAGTAACGCAGAGACTCATTACTGCGAACCCATTCAATTACGGACTCCTGAAATACATGAAGGGCAAGGTGCCGAAATCAACAAAGGTAGCCTTATACAAAATTCTCATACCTGATTCTCTACCTGTCCTGACATACGGATCAGAAACATGGACGATGACTAAAAAGCTGTGGAAAAGAAACTAGTGTTTGAGAGAAGAGGGGTGAGGAATATTTACGGTCCAATTAAAGATATTAATCAATGGAGGATAAACTCACTGACTTTATACAGCTAGGTGGACGCCATCAAGCACATTCAGTTATCAAGAAGGGGCGATACATATCACACGGATAGACGAAAATTCAATCCCGAAGAAAGTATTAAACGCCGAACCAGCCGAAGGGTGGAAACGAGGAAGACCAAACCCAAGGTGGTTGATTGTGTAGGTGGTGATATCAGAAGAACTCTAGGATTCGAAACAGAGAGCAGTTCTTGAAGCAACGAGGACCCAGTAATGTGTTTTAGCGCTAAGGATGATGATGATGATGAGTGTGATAAGTATAAAGAGTAATGAAGTGGGTTTAAGTTAAAATTGCATGCGTAGGGGGTTGAAATTAGTCAGCATTAGAAATATCGACTGCTTTTTCTCTCACGAACACTGGATCTTGGTGGTCTTGAAGAAAGCAAATTGAGTTGTTACTGCCAATTTTGAGACCTATTTTAAGGTCATCAACAAAGCAAAACAATATTAAATATATCTACAGATTGACATAATTAGGTTTTTACAGGCGATTTCTAGTTTCCTTCAGGTCCTTAGGTCAGGCGTCAGACAGAAGATACGTTTAAAATTGTCACATGCGACTAAGCGGTATTAATTTTGTTTCATTATTTTTCAGAACGAAAAAAATGCATTTTAGTCGGACACGATTGGGGAGGAGTTATTTTATGGCTTTTCACTATGAGATATCCGTCCATGGTGGAAAAATACATCGTGCTCAATACGCCTCATCCGAAAGCGTACAGGGAGCTTGTTTGCTCCAGTTTTAAACAGTTTAAATCATCTTGGTACTATAAACATAAGAAATATTTTTTCATTAAACAAGATAGTAGGATGACGAAAGGGATTTTTATTTTTCAGGTATATCTTTTTTTATCAGATGCCTTTCTTTCCTGAATTTTGTCTGAGGATGAACGACATGGAGTGTTTCCGCTATATTTTCACGAACGACACAAAGAAGAATTATATTCTAAATGAAGGGGAAACTGAAGCTTATAAATTCATTTTTGGTAAACCAGGTAAAAACATTGTAAATTCTGATCGTTTTGGTCTGTATATTTTCTCTCTGTTCTGTGGACAGTCTGGTTTGGGCATTTTCTCATATTCAATGAGTGACTGCATGTTTTCTCCCGCATTTGTCTTTTTGAGTGTTCTGGAGAAATAAATAATTAAATAGCCAAGGTATCAGGTTATGCACATTTGCTGTTCAAACTGTTTTGAGCATTTTCTCTATTCAGTTAATATCCTTATGTTTTTATTTGCGTTCGTCCCTTTTGCAGGCTCTGAGTAAAGAAAAAATGAAATAGGTAAAGAATTATTACTGGTAACACACTTGCAAGTTCTGGTTTAGTACAGCAGGTAAAAACAATAGTTCTTTTAGTACCCATTATGGGTCTTAGCGAAACAGACCTAGGAGCTGCGATTCTTTCCAGGGACGATGCAGGCTCCACCGCTTCATCCCGTGTTGCACAGAAGAAACGGTCTACCCCTACGGGAAATTCTCCTAATACAACTAAAGGGTTCATAAGAACAAAGGCTGAAATGCCAAAAAACTCAATGACTGTTAAATTCCCAGTACCATCAAGGTACCGACATCTCAGCCAACTTCAGCTGTGGCATCACGTGCTTGTACCTACCACCTACCACCTCGACTTCATTGCCATTGATGGACCGAGCAAATATGCCTTGTTTTATTACGACGAATCCTTTTGCACCCCTATCTTGCCTGATGAGGACGAGACAAGTGAAAACCAAAATAATTCAAAAAGAGAAACCACAACAACAAGCCACCACCAATACATGTAAAAAAACATTACTAATTATGTGTGGTGTCTAGTGACCGTTAGCCAATGATTATTAGGAGTGTAGTCCGCATCTCACGATCGAATAGTCATACTATTTATGTCCAATATGCGATGCATTAACCCAACCTATCGGAGTTAAGTAGTTAGAGTTTTACGTGCAGAGAAAGCAAACACCAAAGACATCTTTGCTAACCCATCAGATGATTACAGAGCCAACGTCAAGTACCTGATCTCACAAAAAGCTGAGCACCACACCTACTAGTTAAAAGAAGGCAAAGCGTAGAGTTTTTCTTCGCACCTTCATCATTACACCAACTGGTATCATTAAAAAGGAACCGGTAGGCCTTGGGTTTACAGTTCGTAACTTAAAAAGTCCAACCACCAAAGAGACACTGCCACTGTTTTTCGGTGATTTGGAGAAAACTCAGAAAACTGAAGAAATTCACACTTTTATGCACCTCGAATTCATAGCCATTGATGGACCGAGCAAATATGCCTTGTTTTATGACGGCGAACCTTTTGCACCGCTATCTTGCCTGATGAGGCAGGCAATGAGATAAGTGAACATCAAAATAATACAAAAAGAGAAACAACAACAACAAGCCACCACCAATACATGTAGAAAAACATTACTAATTATTAATACTAATTATTAGGGTGAAAGTGGACGAACCACACAAGAAGAGGATCATTCCTCAGTGCACGCGTTGCGAGGAATATAGGGACATAAATTCATATTGTAACCACTTTCCGAAATATGTGAAGTGTGAAGGTCTCACCTAACTTACAATTATGAATTGTGTGCCTAATTTGTCATCCGACATTTTCCAACACAACCTTTTCACAACCTACACAACCTAATACCTACAAGTCCATCGCACAAGCAGTGAAGGATATTCAACAACAATCTCTACCTCCATACATCCCCACTTCCTCTAAACTCTTCTGATATCAAGTCCTTCATCATAACCTTCCTGAATGACTTTAAATCACTCCTAACTCCCCTGATAACCATTCTTACAACTGTATTGAACGGAATCCTGCCTAAACTATCTCGATAATTCCTTCTTCTCAACAATCCTGAGTTATACTTCTATGGATTGCCAATGGCTTTAGAGCCCATAAACAAGAACTTGACGTATTGCTTCATGAAAAACGTATGTGGCACTGATTACGGAAACCCACTTTACCAATACTCCACACTTCTCAAAAAACGATTGCCTGACCTATCGGACTGACCATCCTGCCAAAAGAATCCTTATTCGTAATTACCTGTCTCACTTCCTCAACCCAAGCGATCTGACTCCTAAATGTTCACTTCCGTCATCTTAAGCACATTTTTCCCCTTGAAATTAGCAGCTTTGTATTGTCCTCCCAACAAACCATTCCCCAATCAGCAATTCCTTTCATTTTTCCCATCTCTAGGTTCTCCTTTTCGAAGCGGGGACTACAACGCCAGCACCCACAGTGGGAATGCCTTCTTTCCAACCCCCGTGGGCGGGCGGACTCTTCTCCAAGCACTATCCACAATATCCTATCCCTTTATTTTCTCCTAAGGTCCTACCTATTGGCCTACTTCTCCCCACAAACAACCTGATATTGTAGATTTTTTATTACATCTGGTATTTCAACTTCTCACATAGACATTCTGACTTCTCAAGACTTAACTTCTGACCATAGCCCAGTTCTACTAACCCTGAATTTCCAACCACTACTGATCAGACGACCACCCTTTTATTACAGGACCTGTTGACTGGAACATGTTCCGAGACATCATAGTTAGAGATATCAATATAAGTACCAACCTAGACGATAGAAGATATCGATGCTTCAGTAGAGCACCTAATTAAGACTGCGATTCCACAACAACCTTTGACATCACGGCAGGACTTACTCTTACCTCCTTACATACGATTACTCCTGACTGAAAAAGTAAAGCTTAGGGCTAGGTGGCAAAGGTACCCATCAGACCACCAACTCTTCAATAAACTTACGAAACTTCTCAAAAAAGAACTATACGTATTCAAATCAGCACTATCAACAATACACTCTTCTCTGAAAGCTAAATATAAATCTCTTTTGTACTGCACCAGGAAGATACTATCTTACGAGGACATTTCACCTCCGCTTCGTGACAATAACTTTTTCTGGATTAGAATTGGCTCTGAAAAAGCGAACCTTTTCGCTTTTTTTTTGTTTACTCCGCACACCGAGACAACTATGACCAGACGCACACGTTGACTGTGGAACAAAACTGAACTGTACCATTACAACTTCTATTGCCACCTAAAGCCTTCAGTCCTTCCGACAATGTGTTTGCCATAAAAAACTAACCTAACAAAGCCCCTGGATACGACCTAATTACCCCTAAAGTGTTGCGAAGCTTACCTAGAAAAGGAATACTTTACTTGACATACATATAAAACTCAGTTCTTCGGACAACTTTCATCCCACTTCACGCTGTAATAAAGTAAGAATGATCCCCAAACCTAACAAACCAGTCCCACTTCCTAGTTCCTATCGCCCCATCAGTCTCCTTTCCGTTCTAGCGAAAATCCTTGAAAAACATCCTTTCATTCCCTATACTTCAGGATGCAAAAACCTCGCCATCCCATCAGTTTGGGTTCCGCTCACTTCACTTCATTGTCCATCAGGAGCACCGTATGTTTTGCCGTTTCTCTTGAGCGAAAACAGTATCGTAGGTGTCTTCCTAGACGTAGCCCGGGCATGGCATCCGGGTTTGTTGCGGAAACTCAAGAAATTTTTTTCTCAGTACCTTTTACCTTATCCTCCGATCCTATCTAACAGATCGATATTGCCGTGTCTGTCAAGGAATATCCCTTTCCTTTTATATTACGGTAAAATCTGGAGTCTTGCGAGAAAGTATCCTTAGCCCGATCCTCTTTACAATATACACTGCTGACTTCCCACTTTTCCAAACACATCTCCACATTTTCCGACGACTATCCTCTTTTGTCACTCCAACCCATCTGTTGTAAGCTCACTTTCGCACTAAGAACATCACTTTGTTCTCCATTACGACTGAATCACATACTGATACCGACTGCTGACATAATACGATACCTGGGTCTGTACATTGATAAAAGATTGACGAGGAATCCACACACTAGCCTGAAACGACAACACATTAGTCGTTACAAACTCTACTGAGGCTACTTGATCAACCATCTCACCTAACCCTTAACAACATTTACACAACTCTCATTTTTCCGGTATGGACCTACGGAATGGAAGTTTGAGACTCAACCAAGCATTTCAATCCATCCCGTATCCAGTCTCTCCAATCCAAATACCTAAGAAAAATCCTTAATAATCCATTCCACATCTCCAATAAAATCACACAGTGTTGTCAGTTTTTCACACTTCACACGTCCATATTCCATTCATTCACGACCTTGTAAGAACACGTTATCAGAAATTCCACAATCCCCTTTCTAAACACCTAAACCCCCCCTTCCAACAATTTTTCACATTAACCCTTCCTAGAAATTCCACGACGGCTGAAGAGGGCCCAGGGATTTGCTTCAGTGGTGTGTATGTGTTTGATTATCATGTTAGACAATGAATGGTCGAATTTACTTATTGTAACGAAAGTTGTCGGTGTAAATAACAATAATAATAATAAATAAATCTTTTAATGTAAGTCTGATCTGATATTCTCGCAGTACTTTTAATTTTTTTAAATTTAAAGTACGTATTGCAATATGTCACCTTATTTACGTTAATGAGCTGGATTTACAAATGACATAGATCATGTGTCGTGAGGGGTGTTAATAACCATTGTAATTCTCCCAACTATAAGCGAAGACTAATCCTCGTTTCGTCGGACACCAGGCCATCTCCTCCTCTTCAATCGTCTAGTGAGATTGATTGTAAGCGTGGTTTCTATTGGATAAGGCTTGGGCAACTTGATTGGGGTGAGAGGAGAGTTTATTTTGAAAAGTGGAGATTATTTTTGCACGAAAGAGATTTTGAGGCCATTACGAACATTGTAGACGTAAAAAGGAACATTGACTATGGTCCTGAGGACTTTGGTTTGGAAGGACTGTATTCTTTGGATGTTGGAAGAGGCTCTGCTCCACTGTTCTAGTCTATACGTCCAGATTAGGTTTTAGTATTGCCTTGTAGATTGTAAGTTTGTTTTTTGTTGAAAAGTTAGCTTTTCGTGACAGTAGTCTGTAGAATAATTTGAAGTGCCTGTTTAATTCCTGTCGTTTTAGTCGTGAGTGTTGGCTCCAGATTAGTCTTGAGTCTATATAGAGCCGAAGGTAGCGGACGCAGTCGGTTTTTGGGATGGGAGTATTATTGAGGAATATTGAATTAGGATTTTCGCTTCGAAGAGTGAATAGATATCTGAGTGCTTTTGCTTTCATTAAGCTTTATACACCAGTGTTTCCTCCATTCGGCTATTTGCAAGGCCCCTCTGAAGCAATTGAAAATATAAATAAAATCAATTTTGTTTTCAGGTGCATTCACGTTTCCTGTCAATTACTATAGGGCAAACTTCAGTATTACGCTGCCGCCTCAAGAAATCGCCAAAAGCTTGCCTGACGATTTTCCCAAAGGTTTGCTTATTTTTGGAGAAAACGACAAGTTACTCGCGGCACGAAGGCTTGTTGAAAAGTCAAAAGAATTCGTACCAAATTTAGAAACCCTACTGATCTCTGACGCTTGCCATTTTGTGCATCAGGAAGAACCTGACAAAATAAACACAGCGATGCGACATTTCTTCCAAGCTGAATAACTTGAAATTGATAAAAGAAGTGACATTAAAATTAAATATTTTATTGTTTATATCCATCAACGTGCTGTTACAAGTGAATTATTATACTTATACCGCAAAAGAAAAAATAATAAATTCTTTTATCCAGTATATACACGTATAATTATTTTGTAAAGAATAAAACTTTTTTTTGTCATGCCCTTCATTTACAACTTACAGTTTTAGCATTCTTAGCAAAAACACTTTACTGATATATGTAAAATGTACGTTGTGCTATTTTTACTGATCTGGACCTATTTTTAACATCAGACTAGTAAGTAAAATGTTCCGAGCAAAAACATTTCAGTCCTGGCTACGACATAAGCAGCATTACTAGGCGCGAGCGCGACCCTGCTAAGTTCTGTGTTCCTAAGGCAACGACGTCTCTATGGAGTCCGTAAGTACAACAAACAATATTAGACAAGTTTCCCAGGTTCCTGCGACCAGAAACGACAATAAAATGATGCGTTGGCGTGTTGTTTTATTATAGAAATCATGTTGGAATTTACTCGAGTTGATTACGCCCTTCTTGGGCTGTCATCGCCGAACTGTATGAAAATTCTGCAAAACACAGGGGCAAAAGGCCCTCAGAAGGTAAACCTTTCGCTTTTATATAAATAAGTTTATAACAATGTATAGCAATTATAGCGCCGAATTAATGGCGATTAAAAAATTACCAAGCCTAGTATGTCCCTCTACAAACTACAAAATATCTACTTGTGTGCACAGATTCACTTTACACCCTGCTGACAGTCAAAAACCAATTTTCAAATAATCCCTGGCAGCAAGGCATTTTTTATTCTATGTCTCTCATTAGGAAGGGAATAAGTGACGTTTTTATGGGTATCTGGTTATTGTGGGATTAGGGACAACGAGCAAGCGGATTTTGCTGCAAAACTGTAGTAAATAGCAAATAGAAAATAAACGAGATAACATACGGAGAAACTGTCTTTAACCTTTGATCTAAAATATGGAATGGATGGCAAACGATCTGGCGATGTGAAGATTAGGTTAAAAAGGATTCGGCTCTTTACGACCTGCTCACCACTACCAGTTCTCCACCGTACTCTAGAGTCTTCATTAAGCTGAAGGGCCATGGCACACTACAGACTAAACTATCGGCCATTTGTTTAGACTGGTTGCGCACACTACACCAACAATCAAGCGATTTCTACGTGTGTTACAGATCAAACCTGCAGAATTTATCATAGTTTTTCTCCTTTGCAAAAAAAGAGCAATAAGAACCGGTTTTGGTAATATGGTGAAGAACCGCCAATTACACACTGATTGACAGAATAAACGCACATTAAATTTTAATGTATTTAGTTTTATTTACATTCTGCATACCAAAAATAGTTCTGGCTGTAAAACGTATACATTTAAAAAAATGGTTTATTAGCTAATTCTAAAAAAATATTTACTAAAGAAATTGTTTAATACCAAGTATTTCCACCTCTTGCACGAATCACGTCCGTTAAACGCCTTTTCATCAAGAACAGCCGTTTCCAATTCTTCGAGGGTGTTAGGACCTGGGTTTCGCCGTCGTACTCGTCGCTTAAGTTGGTCCCAAATGTGCTCGATTGGGTTAAAATCTGGACTTCGAGCTGACCATACCAAGCACTCAATTTCAACCTCATTCAGGTAGTCACCCACACAATACGTGCTCTATGGAGCCTGGCATTATTCTATTTAAGAGATAATATAATTGAGATAATTTAAGATCATTTTCATCATTTTCTCACCGTGGAGGGGGGGGGCAAATGACACTACATATTCTTATATTGTCTTGTAAGTACCTCTGTGAAGTTATAGATCTTACTCTCACAACAATCAATTCGATGCGGGCGTCCAAGTAAATACCTCTCCAGAACATCAATGACCCCACCGTGGATTGCCACCCGAGGAACCATACAGCATGAAGCGACTTTTCTCCTGAGCGTCTCTGTATGAAATTACGCCCATCTGAAGTTTTGAGGCCGACTATCACCTCATCTGTAAAGAGAACTCGTCCCCTAATATTCCAACGTCCATTTCACGTGTTCCCGTGCGAATGAAACTTGGCCATTTTGTGAGCTATGGTAGAAAGAGGTCCACGAGCAAGATGCCGGGCCCTGCGGTTATGTTCTTTGCGCCTTCTTACAATCATGGAGGAAATCGAAACATTTCGTACTTGTCTTCCCAGATATTATCTCATTTCCCGTAATGCTGCGGTTTCGTAGAACCTGATGACGGATGAATCGTCTGTAGGCGTAGGTCGATCCTGTCCTGCAGTCTAGTGTAAAGCCCTTTTTTTTTCTTTTTTTTTGAAGTGCCGAAGAACCCTTCTTATACTAGAGTGATTTCCACTCATCTACTGGCGCCTTGCGCTGGTTGTATCCTTCCTCCAATAATGTTATGACCCCTACAGTGTCATACTCACTCAAATGTTTGACTGTAGGAAAAAGGTTTAAGAATAAGAATAATATCAAATGAAATCAACGAAGGAAAGGTTTAGCTGAAAGTGATCTTTATGTGTAGCAGAATGGAAGAGCATGAAGCTATTTTTTGTGCAAATGGGATTAATCAGTACAAAAGTAAACAAGCATTATTTACCCTATGATAGTGCCTGTATTGAATGGTGCGCGTTAAATTTGTACATCAGTGCATACATAATTTAATGAATTAAACTTTTTATCTAAGGTCTTGGTTGAGATGAAAAAGCAAGTGCCACGAGTGGGATTCGAAACCCGACCTTCGGCTCAATACGCCGCTGCTCTAACCACTTGAGGTATTTTAACGACATCAAGATCCAACCAGCTCCTCATTTCAACCTACAATCTTTCGAAATTGCCCCATTTTTGTCATATTTTCAAATATCGTTTAATCTGGATTCGATTCTCGGCGACTTATGAAATGGCCACAATGAGCTGTATTGAAGTAACTACTTATTTTTTAAAAAATGACCAATTTGTGGACAATTTTTAATGCACTGGTATAGAATTTTCGCAAATACGATTATCATTGAGCTTAAGCCAGAAAAAAAAATAATAGATTGCTGCCGAAAATTGCCTGGAGAAAAAAATTGGTTAAAATAACCTAACGGAAAATAACATAAATGACAGTGCAGACCCTCATGAGTTTTCTGATTGACTAAAAGGATAATGAAGTGTCCATTTATTCAATAACAACGGATTTTGTTGTCAGATTAGTTATAAATGAAAATTGTATGATGCAAAATGTGAACGTACTTAAGCCCAAGCTTTTCCTTTATTGCATTTACATATTACGGAAAAATCCAATATCGTTAAAAGGGGAAACACGTTAGTTAAATCGGAATGTAATGCATTTGTAAGATTCAAAAATCAAGTATTACGGTTCAGCGAACTTCTGAATTTGGGCCCCAAAAATTACTTATTTTAGTGTTTCTCCTAATTCAAGTAGAAAACCTAGATAAGCTACTTACCATGTGGGAAATAAAATTTGCACAAGTTACCTTTACAGAAAGAATAAGTGCTAGACCGAATCCCAAACAAAGCATGCCCCTATAATTTTTTGGTAAATATATTGAATTTACACAACTATGTATTAGAAACAGGCTCAATTTACCATTATTAAAAAAAAATATATATATATATATTCAAGCTATGATGTGAACACTTAAAGAGGCCTTTCCTTCTCAAACATGGTTGCAAAAATCTTCATGGGATTAATATTAACAAATATGTTTGGAAGTATACATAGTCACAATCCTTGTGATGGGACTGAGGCTATGTCCAAAGGAATTTTTAACGAGTTATTGGGTTAAAGACATTGACAAAATTTCTGTTCTCTTTTAAAAGTTAAATTATTTAAACATTAATAAAACTTTCTTTATAATAATAATAAAAAACATTTACAATTTCAGGTGGTTTTCTCAGGCAGTGATGGAGTTTTACAAGTGTTTTCTTTCAAAAAGGGTGAAATGCACATTTCCTTCAAAACCCTGCCTGGCGAAATCATATCTTGCTTGGAGTTGGGAGGATCTGGTAAATAGAGTTAAAAAAATTATTATTATTAAGTATTAATCTATAAATGTTTTTTTCTCTTCACTTTTGGTAGATGGAGGTCAAGAAAAAATATTTGTTTCTTCAAAAAACGAGGTGCGAGGATACACGAAAAAGGGAAAACTTTTCTTAGGATTTGATACCAATTTAACAGAACCAATAAGATCTATGTAAGTAGCAATTTTATCTATTTCCTTTTATTTACGAGTCTTTATATAAGCTCAAATCCGCACATGCTTGTACATAAATATGTGTGTGGACATACACTCGTGTATTGAGTTGAGCCTGTCACTTCTCATAGCTCGCTACCAATTCCAGCTTTTGAGTAATTTACAATAATTTGCCGACAGGCCTCGAGAATCACCATCCCCATTGTTGGCAGTCTGGGGTCAGACCTTGGTCTTTCTGGCAGCCACTGTGGTTGGGCTCCATTATATACTATTATATACTACATATTATATAACTAATCTAATTGAGGGTCAATGGGGCACTCAATATTCTGCCATTGGCCCTTTCACACTATACATTCATTATCACAAGTAAATTTAGTCTCAACATATACAAAGAAACACAAGACGAGATATCTATAAAGTAAAACAGTCCTGTTTTATAAAGTAAAATCAGAACAGGGGACCCAGATACTTGCCGCTGTGCTGAAGCACAATTCTCATGTCAGGTGACATTCCCACGTGCTCTCAATCCAGCCCCCTGACGCTAAAAATGTAATTAAAAAACATGATTTTTTTAAAAATAAGTGGTAGTGTCGGTAGCTCTCCTGTATCAAGAGTAATCAAGAGTTGACAGGTGGCTCTTGGAGGACTCGATTCATAGAAAAATGATCATATTCAACAATTAAATGTAGGCCATGCGAGGTTGACATACGATCATTTATTTTTGGGCCAAAGCCCACCTATGTGTCTGGTGTGTTGAGAAAGATTGCTTGATGCAGAACCTAATGGGTCTAACCGTGGAAAGTCTCTGAGGCTGTCAAATAGGACTATGGATGTTCAGCTGTGGTGTTCCACTTTGTACTTTATGGCCTCAAGTGCAGCTAAGCCCTCAGCTGTATAGACAAAGCACATTTGTGACAATGAAAGATTTTTTATAATTTTATTTTCATTTTTCACTATTCTTGCTTTTCCTTTTAATGATTTAGATAACAATTTCCTCATATTGCAGGCATGTTACTGGAAATGATCTCTTAGTGGCTGGTAGCCATGTGTACAATCATTACAAAGATTGCAGAGATGTAAATTCATATCTAAGCAGTGACACGATAAACGACATAGTGGCGTTAAATGTAGAAAAGGTTGCTGTTTTATTTAACAACTGACATTTCCATCTGTACAAATTGTTTTAATGTTGGCTTTTGCTTCAGACGCACAGGTTGACTGCTATTTTAGCATGTGAAGACAGGGTCTTGAGGGTCCTCGACAGGTCCAACTTGTCACAGGTTCTACCTTTGCAGAGTGTCCCAACTTTGCTCAGCCTCTTGTATGATAATGGCGGAACTACAGGAGATAACCTAGTGTACGCAATGGAAAACGGTCAGATTGGTTTGGTTCAAATAATGAGGTAATGTCAAGTACATTAATAATCAGCTTATACTTATTTATTATTAAACTTAACGGTACTGTTTCCAGAAACAATGCCCTTATGAAGTGGACAATAGACAACACTAAACAAAGGGGTGCTGTCAGGTGTATGTGCTGGTATGATATAACTAAAGACGGTGTACAAGAACTGATAGTCGGACGGGACGACGGTAGCATACAAATTTATGGAGAACCTATGGAACGAGTTAGTGACAATGAGTCACTGGTGGAGAAATATAATTATGTAGGAATCTACTGTTACAAAAATCCTTCAAAAGTCATAGTCACAGCCAAATATATATCTAATTTTAGATTTGTAACGAAAGCATTACAAGCATACAAGCTGGATTTATCGGAAGTGCCCAGTTTGATGAAATTCTAGCTACGACCTATACAGGTATGGAATGTTTTATCAAAACAATTGAACATGAAAGATCAAAATATGAAAACGCAACCCTTTATTGTAAACTATTCTATGACCATCTCTACATACAAATTAATCGATTCACTAAACAAACACTTCAGAATGATCCAAAATAACAAATATGTGTGCTCCACATTGCATATCATTTCATAAAATTAAACTCTATATGTAAGAACTAACTGAAAAAAATACTCATTACATTGGTATAGTATAAACTATCAAACCAAGTATTTTATTGGGCAAGTTGCAACTGTTGAATATCTTCCATGTTAATATTACAAAACTAAAGGTGATTTCTCCAAAAGTTGGTTCACAGTCTATTAGTAAATGTGTACTTCTTTTTCTTTTCGTTCTGTGTTTGTTGTGGCTGACCTAATTCAGTAGTATTCTTCTGTTGCTTTCTGCTTCATCGTGTACATTTTGATGTTTATTTCTTAACAATATGTAAGGAGACTTGAATTGACTGTCCTATGTTTGCTCTTAGTGCTTAGTTCTTCTTTCTTTGTCTATAAATGCTTATGAGAGAAGCATAGAAACACAGAAGCAGCATAGTCAAGATACATATTCAAGTGCAAGAACAACTTTCTTATTAATTTTTGTACAAAAGTTAAAAATCTCGACAATATTTTAAACTCCAAGCTTTAATGGCATGACTATGTGAGCTCTATGGGCTGGTACAATAATAATAATAGTTTTGAAAAGGTAGTCAAAACTATTTTTAATTTTTATAAAATAAAGAAAATTTATTTGAAATATTTTCCATCACAATCTATACATCTTTGCCAACATGTAATGAACAATTTTATTCCCCAGACATAAAAATCTTTATTTCGACTCACAACAAAGCCTTGGAAGGCATTTTTGGCTTCACCACGTTCTCTGAAAGTATGGAGGGTGCAGTAAGTTTACATATCCTTAAGTTTCTGCAGGGTTGCGACATGTAGCCTGGCGTTATCATGAACAAGAATCTTACAATTTACTAATGCTGGACAAAGACATTGCAGTTTGTCGTCCATTTTGTTAATTTCTTAGCAATATTTCTCTGCTGTGATAGTTCTAGGAAATTAATGTAAACAACCCCCAGCAGTACACCACCAGTTACTATAACCGTTTTTTCCATACAGATTTGGTTTCGGGAAGTGTTTTGGCACTTCATTTTTGTCCAACCACTGACCTGTATGCCTCCTGTTACCGTACAGAATCCATTTCTCATTGCACATGATGATTCAATTGAGAAATGGATCATTTCGGTGGCACAACAGAAGAGACGTGCAAATTTCAAAGCGTCAATTTCTTGGTCAATCAAAACCCCCTCAACCAAGAGTCTCTGCTTTCTTGGTTGCCAGCAAATAATAGAAGCTCTGAGGTAGTTTTATAGAACTACAAATAAATAAGTTAAAAAGAGAAGGTCATATAACAGAGTCATAAAAGTATGTTTGATAATTATTACTTATTAGAAGTATTTAATATGATAAAAATCCATACATTTTGAGTTTCTGTTCTAGTCCCAGATGCCTCAAGCAGTCCAAGGCTTTTTTACTTACACATTCCATCATGTACATACAATCAAACGACATAAAAACACTGTGAATTCAATTTGTGAAAAAGGAGCCTATTAGTCAAAGAACAAGTCAATAATAATTAATAAAAATTAAATTACAGGATGGTTATTTGGATTAACAACCGAAGTGCTCGAAAAACAAGTCAGCCTAGACATGAAAAATTCTGGTGTGAGTATTAAGTTGTCCACTGAAGATAAACTTAAAATTGAAAGGTTGAGGTAAGCTTTTTTTGTGAGTCACTGACATATCGCTTGACATTAAAATTGATAAAACTTTTCTAATAAATTTGCAGCGGCATTCTATTTAAAAATAATAAATAATTGATTCTTACAGGGCTGAAATTGAAGAATTAGAGCGAGCTGTCCTTAAAGAGAGGGAACGTTACCAATTGTTAACGCAGGAAGATTCTATTGGAATTTCAGTAACCCCATTATTAAAAATCACAGATAAGGTACCATATTTAATTTTGTGGCTCAAACATTTTTAAAACTCATAAATCAACTTCTATCTTATGATAAAATTCAATTTCTGATCCTTTGAAAATGATATTGATTGAGTACATTGATGAAATAGTCATAATAGTAAATGATTAATGTTGCCAGTCGACTGGTGCCATGCTGCTGGGTTAAGAAAGCAAGCAAATATACCAACACAAGGAAAATGGCACCAGTTAAAAATATTAATTCCACCTGTAAAACTCAAATTATAATTTTAAAAAAAGTAAGAGAACATCATATGGTGTGACCGCTATGATTAGACAACAATTGTAGTAATGAAATTTTAATATTTTCTTCTTAAGCAGATAATCAACCTTTCTCACACACACACACACAAACAAAATAATTCTACTTATTTTTACGCAAAAACTTTGATTATCAAATGTTTAGTTACAAAATACCTATATACATTGTATGTATGGTAATGAAGTTTCATTAGATAAACTGTGATGTGAACTGTTGAACATTTGTCAGCAATTTGATATTATATGACATTGAACTCAGATGATATTATCTGATCATCTGAGTTTTTGGGATTCAAATAACTCAACATTACATTTGAAATAAAGTTGAACAGTTTGTTAATAATTACTGCATTCAATTCAATATATGATTCTATTTTAGTACTTCATTTTTGCATTGTACATTACTGCAAGCTACTGCAAAGAAGTTCGGAAACAATCTAGCTGCTTATAGAAATGCTAATACTATTATTTTATGCCGTAGATGATTTTGGTGAAGGAGAAATCGATACTTCAATTAACAATTGAAACTGAAACTCCTATTGACAATGTTCTTTTGCAGTCTAATGTAACAATTAACTTACTTGACGTTGAACAGAATTCAGCTGTTGTAAGCCACAGCAAATGCCACAAGAGTGTAGGAACTCAATATATAAATAATTAATATCACAGGATTTGGGATATGACTAATTTTCATATTTGCAGTCAGGAAATAAACTTCTGGCAACGTACAGATGTCAAGTAAACACAACAAAACTCAGTATAAGTTTGCAATGCAGCAGTGAATCTGGCACCTTGAACGTTTATGTTACACCACAGACTCATCCAAAGACGACACATTTGAGAACTTTTACAATAAGACATCTTGGGCTTTACAGTAGAACCCATGACTTCGATGACACTAGGTAATAAGACCTTGTTAAAAAAAGTACAAACAGGGAAACCCCTATAATGAAATCACAAAAAAAATGTTTTTTCTGTTATTGAAGAGTGCCCGTTGAGGAGAAGTCTAAAATAGATTTTTTAAAAAGACTTGTCTTTAGAAGATGGATAACAGAAGAAGAAAATACTAATCTTTTTTTATTTATAAATTATGTTTTAAATCTTTTCATGTGGTATTTTTTTGATTTATGTTTACATCAAATATTTTGGTGTTTCAGGAATTTACACCCATTATTCATCAGCATCTTATTTTTTTGTAATGTAAATTTTTCACTAAAAAAAATAAAATGCTGATAGGTATAAATTGTCGAAACATCCAAAAAATTTAATGTAAAAATAAAATTTAAAAAATCATAAAAAAACATGGAAAAGTAACAAATATATATAATAAATAAATGATAAAAAATAAGATTTTATTTTGAAAAAGTCGTATTATTAATTCAGTATATGTATAATTAATAAATAACATGATAAAAAATAATAAAAGTTGGTATTGACCTAGGATCACACCTATGGATCGTACATAGTCCTGCTAATGTAGTACAATCATTAATAAGTGTACTTCGATATGAAACTGCAATTTGCTTATAATTGGAATAAAATGGGAGTCAAAATGAGAAGTTTGTGGCATGGGCAATCGAACTGATGGTAGCTCAAGTGGTTTGAGCAGCGGCATATTGAGCTGAAGGTCGGGGGTTCGAATCCTGCCTGTGACACAAATTTTTCATTTTGAAAAAATTGGGTACAATTAATTGAGTATATGTATAATTAATAAAATAATAAAAGTTAATATTTTATATAGTTCAATAAATTTTATAAATAAAGAAAAACATGTATATGTTGTCAATTAAAAAAAAAGATTTCATCCTCGTAATGTATTAATTGTTAATGGGTTTGCCATAGCATTTAATTTTTCCTCTAACTTATCTTTATAAAACTCAAGCATCCAAACACATAGCTCTTTTAATTTTTGCTAAGTCATAAAGTTTGTTAACAGAAAATATAGTTGAGACTTGAGAGACAAAATGTGCCCATATCATGTACATTGCCCATGTACCAATAACAGACCAAACAAATAGTGTAGCAATCTTAATTTCAACCATGTTAAAGCAGAAAGGGGAGAATTTTTGGTGCCTTCGGGAAAGAAAAGCTTTCAATAATGTACCTATGCCTTTAAAAAATTTAAAATGATTGTAACAAATCTTTTTTTTTTCATATGGACATTAATATATTTTATGGTGGAGACTGACAGAAGTGTCCGCAACCGGTACGGAGTGGTTCCATTATAAAAGGGTTTAAAATGAATAGAAGTCCTATCTTTTTGCTAGGGAATAGAAAAATTGTCTATTAAAAGAGGTGATCACTATAGAGGGATGCATTTTAATGTTTTGCTGTACATGTAACAACAACAATTCAGCATTTAGCAAGTTTATTCTCTATTATCGACTGTTGAATAGCGTTCAGATGTATTTAAATAATACAGCTTTGTGGATAGTTACCTAGATTGTTCCCATCTTCATGGAGATTTTTTTATTTCTAATGGCCTTAGAATGGTAAGCGTTCTATAACTTGGTGGTTGGTTGTGCTGGCACAACCCCTGAGCTGGTTCCATAATTCCACACAAGCTCAAGAACTTGCTGGCTAAAAACGAGCTTCCGACAGGCAATATAGAGCCCGCCTGACTTGTAAGATACTTAATAAATCAATAAGGATTTTCCCAATTTCCTTTACCCAATAGTGTGTGCAGTTTCAAAGTTTTGTTCAATTAGAATGCATTGCTACTACCTTACCTTGGGGGTCATGAGTACTTAATATTCTATCATCAATACAGTTCTGTCCTTCCATTTCAAGTTTTAATTGTCCTCTAGATTTTTCTCTGTTTACATTGAGATGTACATTTCAAGGGGAAGATAATGGAGGGTGTTCCACATGAGTTCATTCGGTGATTATCAAAGGCATATACAAAAAAATGTGGATTCATGAAATAATGATTGTTTACATATCAGTTTTTGCTGTTCACAAGTTGTGCAGCAAAAAGCAGGTATTCATGTAGGATCAAAGTTCGCTTATATCTTCAGGAATTCCTTTCGTTCCTTAATTTTTACAAGCTTAAAAAATATTGTCAAAATAATTAATCTATTTATGCTATATAACTCATATGCATATTGTTTCCAGGCCCTGCAATACCCTGACTCTAAAAGGAGGGTTCAGCATGGCAGAAATGCACAATTGGATTTCAAAGTGTTTGCCAGAAATGTCAGAAAAAATACCAACACAAGACAACATGATGTACAACTATATCTCTTCCTTTACGGGTGCCATCATTCAGTGTACATATATGTAAGGATCAATTAAATTTTAGGAAACAATGCTATGATTCTAGTGCTAGGTTGTTTAAAAAAAATTCTTTGTGTGTGAAAACATTTAGCCCTTGGTCATTTGACAGTTCACATGCAGTATCATTCCAGTAACACTTTGTTTAATTATGTGCTCAACCTTTCTGTGCATTTAATTTGATTTTATAAATAAAAAACAAGAATTTCTAAAGAAAAAGCAGACATCTCAAACAGATATAATTATCAACTTGGAAAACAGGATCTTCAATGAAGTCACAACAGTATGACAATTCTTTAAGTTTGTGATGAGCTTTCGACGATTAATCGTCATAATCAGGGCCCATTTATTTATAATATAATATAGATGTAATTTATATGCTTGTAGATATAATTAAGTTTCTAACCAAGCAGAGGTTTTTCTTTCTTTCTTTGGCCTTGCTTTGATACATGCCAGTTTTCCCATGTTGCCATGGACACCACCCACCTGACTCGCACGGGCTGACCAAAGCCGCCACCGAGAAGTGGCCAAGAGCACCCCCTTTTAGGCTTTACATTTTTAACATTTGGGAACTCCTTATGGAAGCATTGGGAGTATATTGATAAAACCCACTTTTAGCACTGTGGAAAAGTCCATATCCTACCCACATCCCGGGGAAAAAATCTGCCCAGAGCGCTCCACTTCTCTACCCAATCGCTGTCAGGCCCAATTTATATATACTCTGCTATCTTGTAAAAATTTAAAAAAAAGAGTCTAATCAACCGTGTTTGAGTTTTTATTTAGGCAAATAATAAAACTAAAAATCAGTTCCAATGGAAGAAAAAAAACTATTTTTATTTGTGTCTTAAAAAATAATAAACTTAATTGTAAGATTTCCTCTTGGGGTCCAATGGGTGATGGACTGTTGTTTGGTTTGCCTATCCTTGCTTTCTTCAGTGTTGCGTGTGAAGCCAAAATTTGTCTGGCAGAAGATAGGCAAACCAAGATAATTGCACCACCAAACTACATAAACTGTATTCCTCAATTGTTGCAGGAAAGGAGAAGCAGAATTCAAGTCTGATGACATTACAACTATTGCAATATTAAAGGATTTCTTGACAAAAGAGGCAACCATGAAAAAAATTGAAATAGAACTTTCCTTTGGTATGTTTTTTTCTAGACTATCAGTTAAATAATTGTAATAATGTTCAAAATATGTACTCTTCACATAGTTTCCTACTTTTTCATTGTTTCTAATAAACATGACATCATTTTAATTTGTTTCAGTTATAAACGATGAAAGTACAAAGCACTGTCTTTCACTGATATTTCCAAAACTTCAACTCGCCTTGCAGACACAGAAACAAGCGAGACTTCTTGAAGCACTCAAAGACATTGAAATCAATGATCGTGAGTCAATTTTGTCTCTTACTCCAGGATGCAAAGAGGTTTTGGACCAACAAAGTGAGATTAGCAAAAACTTTAAACATCAGGCATTCATTCTGGAGAGAATCGAAGGTACTACTTCAGAGCAAGTCAATCACAAAACAGTGTGTTAATTATGTTAATTCATTTTGTCGTTTTTCAGATGTTATAATGCATCTCTTTATTGACTGGTGCAGATTCGCAAATATAAATGGAAGAAGCAAATTACTCAATTTAAAAGAAAAACTTCGATCTTGTAATCTGGAAGAGTTACTGGAGTTTTTTGAAACATCTACCCCCGAGTGAATGTAGTTATTAAATCAAATTATTTAACTTTAACTAAAAATGTTTATAATGCTGATATGGATAAATATATGAGAGTAATATATTAGTTTAATTTGAGTGTTTCATATTATTGGTCAACCTACTCAAAATAAATATGGATATAAAATAAATAAATGTTGAACTTGGATTTGAAACTTTATACATAATTTTCCAGTTTAATTCATATTCAGAAGTTATATAATTTGTTGAAGTCAAGAGGCGGTCAAGAATGAAGTAGTTTAGAAAAACACTTTTTTTGCCGATGTTTCGACCTTTAGTTGTGTCATCTTCAGAGCCTGGGTAATTTACAAAACATATGTTTATTGGAGAAAAACAATTCAAGATGTAAATATAAATTTTGAACCAAGTGTTTCATATTCACATAAAGTGTGGTGCTATTCTTGTGGTGTCATATTGGTTTTGTGTGAAAGTATTGTGAAACGTGAATTTGTATTCTGCTGTTTTCATATGATCGTGACAGGATGGGGGACGCGGTAAATCTGGGAAAATTTCTTTGATCATGAATAATTTTGACCATGAAGACCATCAATAATTCTTGACCCATTTCTTTATCCCTAACCTTAGTAACCATCATGGAAAAATGTATCAAAAATCGATTAATTATATTTCTTTGGAAATATAATATATGCATAATAATCAGTTTAGTTTTTTCCTAGTAAAGTAAAAGAAAAGTAGACAAACCTCTCTTCTTGCTTCACTTCTCGCAGTCCACTGGCAATTCCATCTTTTGAAATTTACAATAAATTACCTGCAGGCCTCAAATATCACCCACCCCGGGTGTGGGTACTACGAGGTCAGATTATGTGCTAATTTTTTTTTTCTTTAACTTTGAATTAAAAAAAACTGTATTACCTTTTGCAATTTCCGTTAGGGGAAATAAATATTTATATTATTTGTTACAGTAGTGAGAGGCGGTCAGGAATGAAGCAGTTTAGAAAAACACTGTCTTCATTTTTTGCGACGTTCCGACCTTTATTCCGGTCATCTTCAGGGCATAAAGTTTGGTACTACTCTTGTGTTGTTATGTTTGTTTCGAATGAAGTTGTGAAACACGAAATAAATGTCGAAATATCTGGGAAAAAATGAAAACGGTGTTTTTCAAAAATACTTCATTCCTGACCGCTCTTCATTACTTCAACAAATTATTGAACAGCCAATCGCTAAATAACACAAGTTTATATTATTATTATTTATTGTTTGTTTTAATTATCAATTGACTTTCGAGCTTAAAAAGTTACTTTTGTTTTTAGTTAGAAACAAACAATTGATTTGTTAGATAATTATCTTTTGTGAAAGAAAGATCTAATCAAATACACATACCCAAAGTTGCAAAGGTATGCGGTCTCTTAGCAACATACTTTCTTAGCATTTTAGTTTTCTATTGTTCCTTTTATCACCGTGGATGGTTCCAAGTCAAGCTGGTTTCTCTTAGCAACAAACAATCAATCAATAAAAAGTGTTAAAGGTATGTAATTGTGTGTTTTTTCTTATTACACATCAATAATTTTATATCATTAAAGTTTTTATTTTAAATTTTCAATGATTATAGTGTATTGCACGGATAACTAGCATAGATCAATCCAGTAAAGAGTAAAATATTGTACAAAGACATTTCGCTTTTATTCTACGTCTGTTCAAACGTTTATATGTACAATCAATAGGTGCAGCTTTTATCCTAATTATATGATGGTGACGGCTTATGAGAAAATTGCATTATCTTGCATTTCTTCACACAATCTTTTAATATTTCAGCTGATACGATTTTCCATCAAACATGAGCCCTTTTACTGAAAACTCTGATCAAGGGTTCGAACCAGATGAAAATGAAAGTAAATTGATGATAAGAGAGGGCAGTGGACATTTAGACATTATTGACCTCCTGGTAATGGCAAATAATTTAAAAAATACAACTATTACTTCAATATTAATAAAATATAATAAAAATTGTCACATTATCACTGAATTCTGATTATTTTCTAGACTCAAGTTGCCGACACGTACGACCTTCAATCCGTCCTGTACATAAAACTGAAAATAATGACGAAAGATTTGCCACTGCACAATTTAAATTTATACCTGCCAGGGCTGAAAGAACTCGATCTTGATAATAGTAATATAAACTCATTGAGGTATGAGTGTATTGAGGAATAATACGGGGTAAACTAGATTTGCTTCGACGTCTCAATTGGAAATCTATTACTTATTATAATGCATAAATCTATACACGTTTCCTTTCTTTGATAAATATTATATCAGGAAACTAAAAAGTGACTGATCTGATGTACAAAATGCAACTATGTATATTTATTGGAAAGTATCTTCTAGTTTAATAATTGATAATAATTTATATAATCGTCGTTATGTTTTAGGCAATGTTTGTTAGTCATTTTAATTCACCGGCGAATTAACTCAACTATTAAACTCATCCAATTGTAATTAACTAGTTTTGCTTAATTATAGGGAACTCGGGGCAGAACTAGGAGGTCTCCAGGTTTTGAGAATCAATAAATGCAGACTGGAATCGTTGGACGGAATATTGTCGTTTAAAAATTTGTCGGAATTTTCCGCTTCGAACAATTATATAACTAATATAGGTTTAGTTGGACAGCTGGAACACTTGCGGTATTTTGATATTTCCAGGTAATTTTACTCAATTGAAAATTTTCCGACATGGATTATCGTGTTCACTCTGTTCTCCTCTTTAGAAATTTTATACAAGACTGGAAGCAGTTGTCGTTCCTTAAAACCTGCGACCGTTTGGAGCATTTGCGATTTGAAGGAAATCCAGGCAGTAAATTCACAAGCTATCAAGCGGAAGTGAAAAAAATGCTTCCAAATTTGGTAACGCTGGACGGAATTACTCTAGGTACCAGAATTAAATAAAAGATTGGAAAAACGTATACATGATTATTATATTTGTTTATTTAATTTTCCTCCAGAGAACAAGAGTTTGCATCAAACTCACAACTGGGGCGGTTTATAATACCAATGTTTGCCAGATGAAAGGGTAATTGGTCGTGATTGAACCTAGTCTAAAAACGGTGGTGAAAAATTGTCTAAAAAAATATATCTGACGGTACCAGGGCTGCCTTGTTACTGTAGGCTGTGTACTCATTTGTGCCAACCCCTACACAGTTTGGAGGTGTCATACTAGTTTGCCAATTTGTTTCCAGGTGGGCATAGATATCGCCGGTTAACACAAATTTGTGTTACTCCCCGATTCTCGCCGCTTCTTTCGCAAGTCGTTGGTCCCATCCTGTAACCATTTATACAGCTGGCTTACCTTACATCCATCCCACTACCATCCACCTGCGATACAACCATTTCGTATTCACAAACTCGAATTCTATCTGAACAGCTTGTTTCATCCAAGAACATCTTGAGCTTATCAAAGGAAAAAGTGGAGAACAAAATTAAATAAGTCAGTCTTGCCCTCCACTATATTTCAACAAGGAGCTACCGATATAAACTCGAGGAAGGTACTAGGACTATACCTATAAGCAGGCGGGCGTGGAATCCCTGCCCAAGACTTAAAAGAGAACGACTTAGCATAAGACTGCAACAAAGACGACAAGAACTGTTATATTTTGACCGTAAAAACGCAATTAAGTTCTTACAGAGTTTTACTTCGATCACTTTGGGACATAAAGGAGGGTCAGAGATGGTTGGTCTCTCACTCCTGTCCTCCGGGAATGTCAGAGTCTTGACTGGCTGGAAAAAATAACAAGTAAAAAAATATTTTCCAACTAAAAAAAACTTAATTTGGAATTGAAATATAGCACTGTACATTTTTGCACCATTTGTGTTGTCAATTATTCAGCTTTCAATCTTTTTTATGTCCACCAAGATTAAAGATAAAGTTCAACGTTACCGAATGAATTTTCAGAATTTCAATGATTTTTTGTTTTCCTAGGAGATTTCGGCGTTTATTGAATCCACTGAAATACAATATGTATTTACAGCTTACTCATAAATTTGTTTCAACTTTCAGATCCACAGGATAACACAACGAATGAAGAAAACAATTTGGAAAATTCATCTTTTAATCCTACAAGTAAGCGTCCATTATTATTAAAAGAAAAGTATATAATAATAATAATAATTAAAAGTTTGACCAAAACGTTTAGCAGCTACCCAATATTATAGCTGTTCTCTGCAGCAGGAAGATTTTCAGCTCTTATAAAAACGCTAACAGAAGAGCGAAAGTTTTGGCCGAACTATTACAATTAAAAAACACTTACGACTTATTTTGGAGATTAGTTTCTTACCTTATTCGTATCAAATTCGTACATGGCTTATATGTTTTCTCAGTTGAATCTGAAAAAAGAGAGAGAAAATACACGTTGACACCGGATATATGCGGAAATCTGGCCAAGGCTCTCATACAATCCAAGAAACAGTCACATTCCAAAGTAAAAAATATATAATTCCGTAGAAATGTCGCATTATATAATATAATCTGTCTACGCGTTAGGATGGTGGAGACGAAAAAGCAGCTTCGAGTAATCAGAACGTCGGAGCAAACGGTTTGCTACTGGCAGCTGAACACTGGAAAAAGACATTTCAGGAGTTTCTGAAGAACCGCTCCAATAGTCCGACTTAAGCAAGGTTAATAATTGTTGAAAGAGGGGGAAATTTCATCAAATACAAGCTATAATGTTTGCCATTAGAAAAAAAATGTATATACTTATGCGATAATAATAAATACTGCACACGTTTTAGTATTCCCTATGTCAATGATGCCTGAGCAACAAGCCAAGGCGAGAAAGATTGGATGAAATATATTTGTAGTGAATCACTTTGAGTCCGTTCGTGATTTTCAGGCGATGATTAATGTAAAACTGTTGGTGCAGAACATCGCCGTACATCAATGCCAGGCTATTTCACGAACAACTTCATCGAACAGCCTGACCCGACCTCACTCCTTCTGATTACTACGTAGTGTATCATTTTTTGGAAAGTTAGATATTCAATGTTGAAATGATTCAAGTTCAATTGCTGGTTGTGACAGGTTTTTCACCTCTAAAGACTCATCGTATTATTGAATTCCTGGAACAAATTTGACTCACGTCATTGGAAACTATCATGCAAAGAATCAAAGTAGAAAGTGCACACTTTTCTTCCATCCCTACCAATGTACTGAAATGGAGCTTCGGCAATGCAACTTGTTCGCTGGTAAGTTGGCCTGTTATTGGATTCTCAACGACACTGGATAATTACTCTAACTCTCCAGCTACATAATTATTGAATGTTTAGCGCAGAATGAAATAGAAATCATTTGCGAAGAAATAAATAAATGCTCAAATAATACTTTATATGCTACAAAAATAAATAAGGTAATGCCAAGGTTAAGGGTGTGTAACATTCCTGAAGAGATAACAATGGAAACAATAGAGCCACAAAACTATGAAGTTCCCAAATGATATCCTACGTGGCTGAATGGAATGTTTCTCAAGAAGAAAATCTGTCCGATCTATCTAATCATCCAAATAAATTAGAGAACCACAGTAGGGTCTAAAACAGAAAGTCTCAATGACAGTTACGGACATGGTCAAAGTTATTCAAAGGCCTAGAAACATTCGTCTAAACATTTTATAGAAAAGTTATTGCCACATGCAAGAAGTGTTTCCCCATTGTTAAAAACAACCTAAGAAGAGAAATCCGCTAATGATAATTTTTGATGTAGAGAATAAATTAAAAGAGGAGGAGCTATTAGAATTAATTTATAAAAAGAATGCGGATGGGATAGGAAAACCATGGTTAGCCTTTACAGAAAAAATAAAATGTAAATGTAAGACGGGTAGAAAAGACAAGGAATATACAAATTGGGTTGTTGAAGTGGATGCGGAATTAAGGAAAAGATTATTGAAATTAGGCATTCTATTCGTGCAGAGTTAAAGATTATCTAGAGGTTAGGCGATGTAACAAGTGCTAGAATATGGACATATGCAGGCTTTTTGTACGAAAAAGGAAGTGATATGTCGTGGATGTGGTGAAGAGGTGCAAGAACCACCGAGAAAAGGGGTGGAAAATGGATTTGGCATGGGAGTGAGAGTGATAAGAGGTGAATCAAGAGGCCTTAATAGCACTTTTTAAACCAAATTTGACGATATTGAAAATGAACAGATTATGTAACTCGCATTGGGTTGTAATAAAAATAGGATGGGAGAATTGGGAATTTGTAATTGTTTGTGGGTATTTCCAGTTCTCACATCCTATAGAAATTCACTAATTTCGTGGTCCGCTTGACCAATTAATACTTTACAATTAATCAAGGTTTTTAGTTGAGATGAAAAAAAGTCAATGGCATGAGCGGGATTCGAACCCACGATCTTCGGCTAGATACGCCGCTGCTCTACCACTTGAGCTATCGTGACCTCGATCCACTCGGACATCAACTTCCTATCTCAACCCCACCTTATCAGTTTTCCCTCCTTTATGCCATTTTTCAAATGTCGTGTAATCGGATTGGATTCTCGACGAAAAATGAAATGGCCACGGAGAGCTTTAGTGAAGTGTACTTCATTTTAATTCATTAAATTCACTAATTTCGTGGTCCGCTTGTCCAATTAATACTTTACAATTAATTAAGGTTTTTAGTTGAGATGAAAAAATGTTAATGGCACGAGCGGGAACCTTAATTAATTGTAAAGTATTAATTGGTCAAGCGGACCACGGAATTAGTGAATTTAATGATTTAAAATGAAGTATACTTCACTAAAGCTGGTAGAGGAAACCTTATAGGTTGAACTTATCAATAGGATAACTACTAGGGACGAGAATAGGGTAACCCTCATATGGATACCTGCTCAATAGGATAACTACTAGGGACGAGAATAGGGTAACCCTCATATGGATACCTGCTCATAAGGGACACTATGGTAATGAAGAGGCGGACAGCCTGGCCAAAGAAGGATCAAATACTGCGTTTGTCGGGCCACAACCGGTATTACCCCACTCTATAAGCACAGCGAAAGAGAGTATTAGTTGCTGGGGCTTGAAACAATTCCTTAAAGAATATGTCCCCCGGACACAGGCAATCGAAGGAGTTTCTGAAGGAAATCAAACCAAAAGAAACGAAATGGTTATTCTCTAACTCTGGGAGGGGAATTAGGAAGCTGATAGGTATCCTAACGGGCCATTGCCCCTTGAGAAGACACCTCTTCATAATGGATACTCTACCAGACCCCTTCTGCCGCTTCTGTGAAACAAAGGAAGAAACGGCTCGACACTACCTTGCAGAATGTGATAGGTATGCTAGGGAAAGATTTGAAACTGATAAATGGTATGGGTTATAGTGGAACTGAAACTTTTACTGCATACAAGACAGGAGTGTGGTTTTTTTCATTATGAACCAATAAATGATAGTCTAAACTGCCTTGCGTTATAAAACTCTTTCCACATACATCACAAATATAATTCCTCTCTCCTGTATGAATTTTCATGTGAGTATCCATCGAGTATTTTGTGAAATATTCTTTGCTACATATGACACAAGGGTATTTTGGCTTTGCCTGCTCTGGAAGATGGCATTTACTGTGCAAATAGAGTGAGCTGAACTGCTTAAAAGCTTTACCACTCTGCGAACAAACGTGGGGCCTCTCCTCACTATGAACTGTACTGTGCGACTGGAGTATCGTCTTTTGTGAGAATCGCTTTCCACAAACGTCACAGCTATAAGGCCTGATTTGCTGATGCAGTTTGACGTGCCTGGCAAAGCTTCTATAGCGCTCGTACACTTTGGGACAGCTCATGCACTTGAAAACAGGCTGTTGCATGTGGACTGTCGTATAGTGAGATTTCAAAGCCGGCAAGGATAAAAGCTCCTCATTACACAATGTACAACCCCAGATGTAGTTTTCAAAAACATTTCAGACAGGTGCTGTTGTCGCTTCATTAAAAATGTCTTCTTCTTCTTCACTGCCACACTCGGAAGAAGAATTTTTACCACGTTCTTTCCTTCCATGGCTTGTTCCTTTTTGCATTGCTGGGTTTGTTTCTAAAGGCTGGTTTAAATTTGAATAATGCTCTTCTAATACAGTATCATTTGATGCTTTGTTATTTAAATTTAGCTCGTCTTTCCGTTCGACCTCGACAGTTTCACCTTTTAACTTCAGCTTATACATTATTTGTATTTTATTCTGGCTCTGTAGTCACATCAATTCGATTACTTTTCATTTCGCAAGTAAACAGTGTCTTTGTAAAAGTAACACGGCGCTCCAATTTTCTGAGCCACTGTAACTTCGATCCCAATACATTGACTTTTCTATCTCGACATATAGTATTTGTGAACTTGATTACTTAAGTTAACTTAAGGGTTTTGTTAAGATATCCGCAATGTTATTGTTTGTGTTCACATACTCTATTGATATTCTTCCATTCATAACACAATCTTTTATGTAATGGTAGCGATATATATATATATATATGTTTGGATCTTTTAGAGTTTTCAAAATTATTAATTAATGAAATGCAACTCTGATTGTCAACTTTTAAAATTCCACTTTTGTCATACACATTCTCATCACTCAAGATCCCTCTGATGTTCATCATCTCCTGAGCTGCTGCACATGCTGCAATATACTCGGCTTCCATCGATGACAGGGCAATGCAGTTTTGTTTTCTTGAATGCCATGCTACCGGGTTGTCCCCATGGAAGGCAACAAATCCACTAACACTCTTGCGAGTCAGCCGGTCGCCTCCCCAGTCAGCATCACTCATTCCTGTTAGTAGGCCATTCCCTTTTGTATACTTCAGACCAAGATGTCGTGTTGTGCTGAAATAACGAAGTATTCTCTTCGCAGCCTTCCATGCGTGTTCTGTAGGTCTGTCCAGAAATCTGCTAAGATAAGAGACACTGAAGGCTATGTCTGGTCGTGTACAGATGGATATATACATCAAACTGCAGACTAAACGCCGATAAGGAGTCTCTATGATTTCATCTCCTTCATTTATATTGAAACCGGTTTCCATCGGTGTCTCAACTCCATGACATTTGTCCATGTCATACTCCTTTAGTAATTTGCATATGATTTTTGGTTGTTTGATTTCTAAATTACCATTTGACCTTTTTAATTCCATCCCCAAAAAGGTTGATGCAGTGATAAGATTTTTGGTTTTAAAACTATCATGGAGATCATGCAACAGCTTATTAATCTCCTCTTTTTCTCCAGTGATTAGTGCATCATCCACAAAGAGAACTAGAAAAACATTTTGTTTCTCATATAGACAATAGTCATATTTTGACCTTCGGAATCCTAGTTTGTCCATTTCTTGAATAAATCTTGCGTTCCAACTTTTTGGTGCATTTCTTAAACCATAAAGAGAACGGTGGAGCTTTAAAACTGGTGAATTACTTTATACACCTTCAGGTATTTTTATATAGATATCATTTTCTAAATAACCATTTAAGAAGGCTGTTGGGACATCAATTTGTGATAAAGTCCAATTGTTATGGACAGCCACTGACAATAAGGTTCTAACAGTTTGCAACCTACAAACTGGGGCATAGCATTATTCTCCCCCTTTTTCAGAAATCTGAAAACCTTTTGCCACTAATCTAGCCTTTTTTGTTCCATCTTCCTTAATTTTGAATATCCATTTGGTATCTAATGCTTTTTCACCTGGGGGCAATTCTGCTGGAGACCAAGTATTGAGTTGATTCAGAGAATTTATGTAATTCCTTTTTTATTGCTTCATCCCATTCAGGAGACATACATGCCTCCTTATAACTGTTAGGCTCATCGGTTGAAGAAATGAAACAATAAGCTGTATACAGCTCATAATCATTTAAGTAGGAAGGTCATCTTTTTCTTCTTTCTTGTTGCGTAATACCTTTTTCCTTTTGTTTTTTGTCTTCTAAATTGCTTTCTATGGTTTCTTCAGTTTCTAAATCTTTATTTTCTTCTTCTGTTTCTGTGTGAGTGTCAATTTGTACGACCTGTTTATTTTGGGAATTGTTAATCTGGCTGATATGAGGCTTGATATCCTTATATTCCATAATGTTTTCATTAAATCTGACATCCCTTGATTAGATGATCTTACCTTCTATGGGTAACCACAATCGATAACCTCCTCCACAATATCCTACCATTACTCCACGATTAGCCCTTGATAACAACTTTTGCCTCTGGTAAAACAACATACCATGCTCTGCATCCGAATATTCTTAGTTTGCTAATATAATTTCTGCATGCGATATTAATGAAGGAGTTTGTCCTTTTGGCAGAGTTATAGTGGGAGAACGATTCAGCTCATAAGCAGAGCTCCTAAGAGCTTCTCCCCACAAATATTTGGGTATGCCCGAATCTGCTATTTTTGTCCTGATCATATTCAACAAATTCATTCCTCCCATCTGAGGACTATGACTCATAGTATATTCTAAAATAATACCTTTGCGTTGGGCATAATTTTAAAAGTTCTTGATGTAAATTCCCCTCCATTATCCAAACGAAGTCTTTTCACGTTTACTCCATTTTGAGTTTGCATTTCTCTTATGTAATTTTTGATATTTTCTTCCGCTTCATTTTTATTCTTCAACAGTCTTACAACTAGAAAATGTGAAAAATCATCTAAAATGGTTTGAAAATATTTTTCTCCATAGACTGAAGATGGATTTATTGGACCGCAGATGTCGCTGTGCACCAGGTCACCAATAGCTCGTGTTTCAAAATCGAAGTTATTCGAAAGCACCAATTGTTGAAGTTCGTCGCCGTGAGTATTGGAATAACAAAACCTGTGCTTGGCATCGTGTCACAACCTTGGAATTACAGAATACCGCAGTCAAAATATAGTTCACGCGTTCAACAAAACACTGGGCCCATAACCTGATAAATGGTATGGGTTATTGGAAAGAAATTAAGTTAACTATACTTGTGTATTTTTATGTGTTTATTCCAAACAGGTCTTACACTCACTGAACTAACACCAACTGTCTCTTTATAACGGTCATAACCGTTATTTTCCTTTACCTGAAAAACAGTCCCAACCTTATTCTTTTCCCCTTTAATTATACCTTCGACAGAAACTTTCGAAGGAGAGGACATAACCAAAACACTCCCCAAGATAAAATGGTCCAAAATCTTGGGGTTTGTGAATAGGTCCAAAAGGTTTATGCAGGACTCGTGAGTCGACCAGGTCCCGGACCTTTTAGGGATGGGGTACGGGCCTACCTAGGCTTTTAACCCCTCGGGTCCTGGTCACCCTCCCTGCGTAATATATATAATGGAAACCATTGACCAATACGGGTTGATAGTGCTCGGAATTTACGACGTTTGAAAACTTGAGATATGGCACAAATATTGAGTGGTAGAAGGTTTAAGTGGGAATGGAATACATCCGTGCCATACTTGTGAGTGCGTATTTCCAGTACCGCCATCCCACGGTAGTGTATGTGGAAAAGTTGGAGTATATTTTAACGAATTTGGGCAATAAGGCTGAACGTGTTATCATTGGAGCAGACGCTAATGCGATGTAACCCCTTGGGATATTGGCTTGACCTCAAAGGGTGTACCAAATTTATGGTCCGGCTCTTTCGCCAGTTTTAAAATTTAAAAATGAACAAAACAAAAATCTTGACTCAAAAATGTATTTACAAATATACTACAACTTAAAAGTTTAAAGAAACAAAAATACGTTTTGTGGAACAAATAAAAAACGTTGACTAACCCCGGCAATTAGAGGCGTGACATTCCCCCCCCCCCAAGTTACACCCCTCGACTATCAAGATGTTTCCCCTAAGAATGCTGAATCCAAGTCTTCTGATGATTCTCCCTGTATAAACTCCAAAACTCTCTCATGTATACGGATTATAGCCATCATGGCGTCTCGATGTCTGGTAAGATCGGCACCTCCTCTTGCATCTCGTTCGGAGATTGAAGTTGGGCCCTGTTCTGGTCTCTCTCGTTGGAAACATCCTGACATCGAAATCGATTATATAACATTTCGTGGAAATGCCCCAGCCTCTTTTTCTTTGTTGGAGAAGGGAATTGTGAATATAAGAGACCTCCCCCATGTACTTTGGATTGACGTAGTTTACATTTACTTCTTTAAATGAATAAATTGAAATTAAGTTTAACATTAAGAAGAATTATAATAAGAGGAAGAAAGTATACAGCTTTAATACATGATTTATATTATACATGATTTACCTAAAACTTATATAATTTTAAATCAAAATAGTACCCTCATCGTTTACGGTTTCAAATAAATTTAACCGACTCCAATTAACACTGCATCACTTAAATACATCTTGAATTATTTTATAATAACATTGATAGAAATTGGTGGATACACTGAACATGAAATTCTATTTTTATACATATAAAATTAAATTTAATAATCACATTAATCCATAGTATATTAAAGGTTACCCATCCACCACCAGGTTTACGGCCCCTGCCCGTCTTCGTATTTTTGCAATTTTCTCTGAGCACGTTCTACTAAACTGATATCATTGCTTGTAAGCCAATACTCCCCCATTTGCAGGAAAAAATGGGGGTGAATCGAGTTTATCACATTCGAGTTGTGAAATCATAGGTGTTTTTTTAAAATATTTTTATCGACCCTTTTCATTTCGAAACATGTGCCCGTTTTATGTCGTTTGGGTCCTCCGCGTTCTGAATTTGATACGTTACAGGGGAACTTTTCTTTACCACTAAATAGGGTTTTGAGTATTTATAACTTAATTTATAGGATATTCCTTTTGCTTTATTTGAAAGTGTGTAAAGTTTTATCAGCACAGTGTCTCCTATGTTTAGTGTACATTGTTTATGTTTAGTATCATAATAATTTTTGAACTTTTGGTGGGCACGCTGCCCGGTTTGATTCGTCGAATTCTATTTCCCATTCTAGGTGAATTGGTGTTAATAATTTCCTCCCTAAAAATAATTCGTCCGGGGAATAACCCGATGATGAATTTACCGCCGTGTTGCATGCAATTTGGAGCCAAGAAAGATTATATGACCATCTTGACTGGTCTTCTGCATAATAAGCTACTAAAGCTGTTTTTATGTCCCGCAGTCTGCAGGACAGAGCAGCAAAGGGACTGTCAAAGGTGTTGCTGCTGGACAGAGCAGCGAATGGACTGTCGCATCGGCAGGATCTTAAGGATTCACAGGAGGTAGTGGAGGAAATGGCGTAGGGGTTGACGATCTCATCGCCCAAAGCGTTGTCTGCTTTGCAATCAGTCGCTATTTCGTTATTTCCTTTGTAATTGTATCTTTGCAGGGCCCATTCTCAATCCAACAATCCTATCCCAACCCTTGGTTGCAAGGGGGCTTTCCAGGCAAAAATTAATGGTGTAGCCCCTCGGATGGGGCAAGTGGGGAAGAAGGCCGTTTGGGTCCTTAGGGGCTTGGACAGTTCTTCTACACCAAGCTTGCGGGCCGTTAGCAGAGGTGCATCGCCTCCCACCTTGAGAAACAAAGGTCTGATAAGGCCATGTGCCAGGTGCGGGCGATAAAGAACCTCATTGTCTTTTTCAAGACGACGCGATCCACAAGGGAACTTCATATCATCTTGAGATACACGTGAGTGTTGCGGGTTTGCCTATCCGACGGATTGAAGGGGCACAGCAGTGAAAGAGACCCGCATAACGAGTGTGATTTGCGGGTTTGCGTTTTCTTGTTAATTTCGGAACTAGAAGTGTGAAAAGCTTTATTTTATTACAGTTAAGCTATAATTGCTTGGAACTAGAGAAAATTTTTTGTTAATGCCCCTTTTTTTTGTGTTTTGGACATTATTGGTGGAGGTTGTGTTTTCTTATTTTTATATATTATTAGGTGATAGGAACTATTAGTTAACTGGTGTGTAGCCGTTAAGTTGCGAATTGAGTATCTTCAGTGTACTGGTGACTACAATGACTAAAAGTTCATTGGAGTACTAAAGTGTACGCCAACTGAGGAGGTTCCGACTAATATGTCGGAACATCCAGAATTACCAACCATGGAGGAAACGGACATGAGTGTAGAGGTAATCGCAGGTCACGGAGAAGGTTGTTGGGGTACGCCAATTCCAGGGAGTAGAAAACGGACACACTCCTCCCCGTCAGTGCTAGAGGGGGCGAGTAAGTACGGAATATTGGACCTTTTGGTGAATGCGAAATCCGTGGAAGCGGAAGTGAATGAGTGGCTAGCAAAGAGGAGAAATTGCAGTGAGAAAACAGCGAAATGGATCACGAATAGGCTCACAAAGATCGTAGACTTGCTGAATGATGCTGCAGGCGAGATGATGACGGTGAGAAGCACAAAGATGCATAGGACAACAAATCTAGAAGAAGAAATAGATGAAATTAGAAGAGATAATGCTCGAATAATGGACAAACTAGATCAGATGACCTGGAATATAGAGGGAGGGATGGAAACGGGAGTGAGAGGAATAGAGAGAATAGAGAGGAGGATTGGGGAACAAGAAGGAGACATAGAGGAAATGAAGGAGATGGTACGGAAGGAGGTACAAAAGAATATGCAGGAAGAGATTGGGAAGGTACTCAAAGGAAAGGAGAAAGAAAAAAAGGAAGAGAAAAGAGTTATGGTGGAAAGGATAAAGGAAATAGAGAACACACAAAGTCTGCAAAATAGGATACTAGGAGAGATTAAGGAAAACATGGACCGAGTATATACAGGAGTGAGTAAAGTATATCGGGGAGAACAGGAAAGGGAAGTGAGAATGGAAGAAAGACATCGGGAAATGATGGAGAAATGGGGCGAGGAAAGGAGAGGAAGAGCGGCCCGCGAAACCACTGTTGGAAATGGAATGGAGACAGAAGGAGGAGAGGAATCATACGCGGCGGCGGTAAGGAAGAGAGTCAAGAGAAAGATAGAAAGGAAATCAAGGAAAGGAGTAAGGATTACGAAAGAAGAACAAGGGAAAGAGATTGGAGGAGAAAAAGTGAGGAAAGAGCTGATGGGAAATATAGACCCAATCAAGAAAGGCTGGGAGATAGTAGGGTTCAGAAGAGGAAGAAACGCGGTATTCGTAGACGTAATGAAGAAGGAACAACTAAAAGGAATAATAGAGGATACAGACCTGAAAGAGAAAGGCTTCAGAGTAGAAGAGCAGAGGAAACTATTCCCATGGATAATCCTTACAGGGGTTCCGGAGGATATAGGAAAGGAAGAACTAGGGAAGAGGATTGAGGAAACGATAGGAAGAACTAAGGAGGAGTTGGAAGGTCAATTGAGGGTAAGAGTCTGGAGGGATGCAAGGAGTGGGAAGAGGAACGTGATTTTGGAAGTTAACCCGGAAACAAGGAGAGACTTATTAAGGGTGGGAAGGATAAGGGTAGGGTGGGTATCCTGCCGAATAGAGGACTTCACGACAGTGCTGCAGTGCGCGAAGTGCTTCGGATTTGGGCATAGGGCAGCAGTCTGTAGGGTCTGTCTGTCTGGTGTGTGGCAAAAGTGGGCACTTTTCGAGTGCGTGCAACGAAAGAGAGGAGGATAGAGTATGCGTAAACTATGGAGGGAAGGATCATGGGAGCAGAAGCAAAGAGTGCCCGGTTTATAAGGCAGCTGTCAAGGCATGGATGAGGAAAATAGACTAAGGGGAGTAGGTTACGCGTAGGTCAGATAAACCTGGGAAGAGGGAAAAGTGCGACGGGTGAAATAAGAAGGGTAGCGAGGGATTTGAAATTGGACATTTTACTGGTGCAGGAACCGTATGCACGGAATAAAGGGATACCGGGATTTGGGGAGAGGGATAGAGTATGTATGGGAGAAGTCTCGGAAAGAGGCAACCCAATGGCAAGTGTGGTGATCTTGGATGAAAGGCTGGATATTTGTCAAATTGGAGCCCTATCGAACCAATACTGTGTTGTTGTAGGAATAGGCACGGGGAGAGGAGAAGTAATATACTTCCTTTCGGCGTACTTCCAGTATCGACAGGAAACAGCGATACATACAAGGGGATTGGAACGGGTGCTGGAGGGTCTGGGGGAAGGTGCCGATAAAGTAATAATAGGGGCCGATGTGGATACGTACTCGAGAAGATGGTGGAGTGCGAAAACTGACCATCGGGGAGAACAGGTGGAGGAGTTCATAGCAACAAACAATCTAGAGGTCATGAACAGAAAAGGGAATCTATCGACATTTCATACTAAGAGGTCCTCTACTAATATAGATGTTACACTGAGTGGAGCAGCGATTCCAAGGAACATTAAGGAATGGAATGTTAGGGATGTGGATGTGGGTACAGACCATAGATTGATTTATTTTGAGGTAGAGGTGGGGGACAGGAGGAGGAGACCGGGAAAGACAGGTAAAAACGGTAAAATAAGCTGGGAGAGGTACAAGGAAGCGTTGAGCAACCTGGACGCAACAGGTAGCAGGGGAACCCTAGACGAGGAGATCTAGAGACTAGAGGAGAGGATCAGAGAGGCGGTACAAGTAGCACGGAGAAGAGGAGGGAAGCGAACTACGCTACAAACATGGTAGAGTAAAGACCTGGGAGAAAGGAGAAAAGAAGTCTACAAGTTGAGAAGGAAAATGCAGGGCACAAGAGAAAAGGAAAGGGAGGAAGAATTGAGCCTAAGGTATAAGGAGTTAAGAAGGAAATATATAATGGAGATCAAGGAGGCGAAGGAGAAGGAATGGGTGGCAGGAATGGAGAAGGAGAGGAAAAAGGTATGGGGGATCAAAGTATAAAAAGGAGGTGGGTAAGGTAAAGGAAAAAGGAGTTTCGTATTCGCTTAGAAAAGGCGACGCCCACACGCTGACTATAAAAGAGACCCTGGAGGTGTTCCTGGATAAATTCATAGGGGCAGATGACCAGAGATTAGAGAACCCAGAACAAAAAGAGATTAGGAGAGAGCTTGAGGAACTGGAAAGGAATATACAGGAGGAAGAAGGAACCCAGGAAATAGAGGAAGAGGAGGTCTTAGAAGCGCTGGGGAAATTTAAGCAGGGGAAGTCACCAGGAATAGGCGAAGTGACAATTGAAATGATAAGGAGAGGGTGAGATGAGTTAGCTGGAGATGTAGTGTGGGTTATGGAAGAATGCCGACGGAGAAGAACGTTCCCTCAAAGGTGGAAAATAGGTATGTTGGTGATGCTGCTAAAGGGTTACGATAAGGATAGGAGCCAGGTTGGCTCGTATAGGCCAAGATATCTTCTCCCAATGTTGGGGAAGTTGTGTGAGAGGATCATCTTGGTTGGAGCAAGTAATCAGCAGGTCATGGCGAGAGTAGCAGTTCGGGTGTCGAAAGGGAAGATCAGTAGAAGACACACTACGTAGCGTAGACTAACATGGTAAGTAGACTAACAACCAAATATGTGCGGTGTTTATAGATATCAAGGGAGCCTTCGACAACGTATGGTGGACATTCCTAAAATTGAGACTGATTCGCCTAGGAATAGGGAGAGAGGCATATGGTATAGTGTCCAGCTACCTTAAGGATAGACTCACGTGCATCAGGGAAGGGACGCAAGAGGCATGGAGAAAGGTTGAGAAGGGAATACCACAAGTCTCGGTGCTGGGTCCGTATTTCTGGTGCGTCGTTTTTAATGATCTGCTGGAATACCTGGATAAGGAGAGAGTACTGGCGAGAGCGTACATGGATGACCTGTGCTGTGTTGTGGGTGGCAATTCGAGGAAGGAGTTGGAGGAAGGAGTTGGAGGAACGAGCTTCCGAAGTGATGGGAAAGGTGAGTGCGTGGTGCAGCAAGGTAAAGCTACAAGTGTCGGAAGAGAAGACGGTAGCAGTCCTATGGAGACCTAGACCTTGTTGGACAGGCACAGGCTCCCAGTAATCGTACACCAAGGTAAAAGGATTCAAGTGAGTAGTGAGTGTAGGCACCTGGGAGTATGGGTAGGTGAGGGAATTAAGCTGCACGGGCACGTGAAAAGGGCGTGTGAGAGCATAGATGATAAATGGCAGAAAATCCTGAGACTGAGGAGGAAAGAAGAAGGTTACCAGTTCAGGGAATTGAGAACTATATATAAAGAGGTAGTAGAGTCACACTGGAGTTTCGCGGCAGGGTTCACCTACGAGCACTTAGACTGGTAGGACTGGAGACACCTAGAGAAGTGCCAGAGGAAGGTATTGCTAGGACTTCTGGGGGCATACAGGACCACACCCACCGCAGCATTGCCTGTGTTAGCAAGGGTTCTACCAGTGAAAGAACTCATAAGGAAAATTAAGCTGGCATACGATATGAGGAGAGGAAAGATGGTAAGAGTAGGTGAGTGGAGGATGGATGAGGGAGCTGTGGAAATTAGAGGAAGGCGGAAAGCCACAGAGATGATAGTAGAACAACTTGTGAAGGACTGGTAAAGGAAGTGGGAACGGGAGTCAACAGGGGCAAGAGTTAGGTCCCTCATTCCAACAGTGTCAGATTCGGGTTGTCCGAATCCGATATGTGTGAGTGTGGTCGAGTGGACACTATGGACCACAAATTGTTCCAGTGCGTATTGGCCGATAGTGTAAGGTACCATATAAGAAGGAGAATGGAAAAAGAGGGCATAGATTGGACTCACAAAGTCGGTTGGTGGATTAGAAAGGACCAATGGAAATTCTGGCAGATGTTGCGCGGAAAAGTCCTGAAGGAGTACGGCGCCTGAAACATTAAGTGTAAAACAAAAAAAAATTAAGTGTAAAAATGTAAATAAGTTGATAATAAGTGTAATACATGTAAATAAAGTTGGGTGCACTAGGGTAAGAAGTAGTTGTAAGGATTGTAAATAAAAACAGTAGAAAGGTATGAGGATTAAAAATAAGGATTAGTCAGTGTAAATATTTAATAGATAACGAAAGGATAAAGAATAGGAATTAGACAAACTAAACGTAAACATCGAGTAGTCTTAGGAATTAGATATAGGATTAAGAGACTGTAAACAATAAGATGTAAATAATTGTAAATAGATAAGGATAGGATTAAGAAGAATTAAGAAGGATTAGAGTAAAGAGTAGAATTAAGAAGTAGAATTAGGAAAAGTGTAAATAGTAGGATGTAAATATGGATAGGTTAAAGAGTCAATTCCGAATCAGTCCTACTGCTAAACCACCTATGGGACTTCGCATTTGCATCCGCCCCAATGATCACAAGATTGGCTCTATTCTATTACGTACTGCATCTAGCATGCAATTTATGAGAGCTCAGAATAGAGGGGTTTCAGTCCTACTGCTATACCACCTATGGGACTTCGCATTAGCGTCTGCCCCAATGATGACACGTTCAGCCTTACTACCCACATTTGTTAATACATACTCCAACTTTTCCACATACACTACCGTGGGATGGCGGTATCAGAGAGATGGGTGTAGTGAAAAACATCCAACTCTCTGTTTAAAATAACTACAGCCGCCATATGGTTTCCGCGGTCTGTAAGTCTCCCTACCGTCAGGTCTTTCTTTCTTACTTCTCTGTATCTTGGCCTATTTTAGCTCTACCAGAGGGATTCTATGGCTATATTTGCTCTGCCTGACAGTCGCTGACTCAACCACCATCGAGATTCTGTCATGACAAGTTTATTCTGGTCGTGTCCGGGATGGACCTCTTGGCGGTACTTGAGTCATTGAGAGTAATGGGGTGAGTCATTGTGAATTCTCTTAGCAACATTGTATGTTTTGCATACAATTGCATAATGCATGTTTTATGCTTGTGCATGTCATTCTGTTATTTATTGTAATTGTCATAACTTACTTTCATTTAATTTTCAGGTGATCTAGATTCGTTCACGCTTTCAGATGTATGTCTGTTTCCAGGTACAGGCCATCGCTTTTGTTCCATGACGTACTTTTTTACGTACTTTTTTGTAGCGTTAAATGCAGATTGGGAAGAAACGGATAGTCGCATAATGGTATCCTGACTGTTGCCACTACTACTGGGCTGTATCTGATGAAGACAGGATGTTCGGGCCTCGATGAATTTTTGGCATTCTAAGAAGACGTGCGCCGCTGACTCGATGTCTCCACATTTGCAGATATTTGTTCTTTTGACTTTATGAAAAAATAGTTTTTCGTTGAAGTCTCCAAGCCCAGCAAGATATTGCGCTATACAGGGTGAATTGCTACTCGTGCTACAAACTTCTCCAGTAGATTCTTCACCCTAAAATGAACAAAAAAGTTCATATTGTCCATGGTCCGAT